GATGGTGTTCTAGTTCTGATATTAAAGTTCAGACTTGAAATCTTGTCTTCTTTACAATTTGTCTTAAGTGTAATCTTCAAGTAAATTCAAGGAATATTCACACTGAAGCTATTAAATGTGGCAGTGCTGCAGCATATGAAAGTGAGAATAACCTGGCAATAGGAGCCGTTTAGTAACTCCTCTGAGAAACTTGTAATGTTAATTTTCTTCATACATGTGTGTCAGAATTGTAAATTTGCTTCATTTAGTTCTCATTCTGTCAGTGTGTTACACAGCAATTGAGATACTTCTCTGAATTTAAAAACACAGACTCATTGTTTCTTCTGCCTGTTGTGTCTGATAGTCTGAGTTTCCCAGATCTGCCTGTATTCATTAGAAGTACAGATCAGCAAGAAATCCATGGTTAAAACTTCTGTACATTTGAAAATTCACTACATGTTCTTATAGATGAGGTTTCTTATCCAGTCTTTGCAGTTTTAAGAGCATTCATTCAGGCATTCTATCTGCAGCAGAGTGGTACAGTGCTTTTCAGATTCACGTTTGGGAGTTTCCTTTAGTCATAAGCTCAGCACTTGCTTTCATTAAATGTATGGTTGTTTATTAATGTTGGGTTAACTTTCCATTGCCACTAAGTGTCTTGTCAAGGGCTGATGAGGATGCAGGTTTTGTCTATATATAAATAAAGATGGTCTTTTAAGAAAATATTTAATATATAAAGAAGGAAATGTATTAGTTTTCTATGTAAAGATAGTAAAAATACTGGAAGAATAGGATTTGGGATGTGTTACAGTCTGAATCACTCTGTTGCACTGCATTCAAATCAGACAGTTGTAGACCTGCAGTGTTGAATGTTTCATTTTTGTTCTTCTAAATTTAATATTCTTCTTAAACAACACAGCAGTACAGAACAAATTTATTAGACTTAGCCATTTTCTGCATCAGTTGTCTAAAACTTTAGGTACATGGAAGGCATGAGGTAGTGGGTTCTGCTGATTTCTTTGGTGAAGGAACAAGGAAAACTGGTGAGAGGGAAAAGGGAAGTCATGACACAGTTCTTAACACGCTGTACTTGCTCAGCAATCAGTCCTCTGGTACTAGCACCAGCCAGCTAAATTGGGAGCAGTGGTAGTTCTTTATTAAATTGAAGTGTTTCTGGTAAAGCAGCTGTCTATAAGTAACTCATTTGCTGTGATCTTCGGGATCTTCTATTTTCAAAGCAGTGTTTTGTATATTAAACCACTGCTGAAGTTGTTAAGTTAGCAGTGTTGTAGCTTTCACTTCAGGCTTCCTTAATTCTGTGCAAGGCTGGTTTGCTTTTTTTCTCTTGAAACAGAAGTAGAGATGTAGTGTGTTAAGGAGAAAACATCCTGACATGAACTGTGTTTTTGTCTTTTTGCAGTACTTCAGTGAGAGATGATGCTCAGAGAGAGAGAACTGAGTGGCATTTGGCTGCAGGATGTTCGTATTGATTTCATTAAATAGTTTGATTTCCATAGGTGTTTACAAGAAGTGGCCTTGCTTTTCCCAGTAAAAATAAGTTATTTACTAAGCTAGTTACTGTGTTTCATTACTTAAGTAGATTACTTGAAAAATCCAAGAGCTATTGGAGTGAAGTGGTCCAGGGAGCAGCTTGGATCTAGCCTGACAAAAAAAAAAAAAAAAAAAAGCAAAACCATTTTGGTTAAGCTTTAGGCTGAGTAAGATGTCTTCTACCTGCAGTAAAAATGTTTGTATGCAGGATATAATTATATAAAAAGGTAAGTGGCCTGAATCAAACTTGAGTTTGGGGAGCTGAACCAAGAGCAGGGAAGTAAGATCTTCAGTCTGAGTCAAAAGTTTAGAGTCTGTGAGGAGGTAGTCAAGGTCAGGATAGATGATCTCTAACTGCTTCTGTTCCCCTTCCGTAATGCAAAGGGAGGAATGTTTTTATTCAAGTTTCAGAATATTAAAGTTGACCAGGCAAAGTGAGCTTGGGTCTTACAGAACCAGTCCTGCCTGCAAGCAGGCACATTCAGAAGTACATCCAGAGGAATGACCTCTGCAAAGATGCTGTTTGTTGTTGCCTTGGTGCTCTTAAAATTCTCTGTTAATGAAGTTGGGGAGAAAAAAAAAAAAACACAATATTTTCTCCAATATTTGGAATGCTCTTAAAATGAGCTTTGTGAAGGAAAGCAGTTTTTTGCTCTACCTACTCCTAAGAGGTAGTACGGGGCTTTTGCTGTACTCAGTCCTGCTGAGAGTAGTCAGCTCAGTGGATCATAGTTCTTGCTAGCAGCTTCAGAACAGCTCTGTTTATCTTCAGAAGCGAAAGAAAGATTACTACCCGGTTTTGCAGCTGTCTTTGACCTTGAGGGGACTTGTTTTGAAACTGCTTTTCCTCGATACATTCAGACAATTGTTAAGCAAGACTCACACTTCTGGATTAATACAGTAGGCGTAGAGAGCATCCCTTGCTGCTGATTTGTCCTTGATGACAAAATGCAAGCTAGGTAAACTTGTTAGATTGAAGAAAGCATCTGTTTCTGACTCTTCTAGCCATGCATACTCTTCCACTGTTTTTTCCTTGAGGAGCTGAGTGCAAATCCATGGGGATAACATGAGATATGGTGGGAGGGGACGTGGGTGCTATGGGAAAGCCCTGTTGTGGTGTGCTGAGTGCTGCCAGTGCTCCCAGATAGCAGAGTGCTATGGCACATGGATACCTGCCTGCTCCAAGTATAGGAGATACCCACGTTACCAACACAGTCATTAGCTGTCTACCTTTGGTTTTCAGATATTGTTAGAACCTTCCAGAATCTTATCTGAGACTAGCAAACTTTGCTATTACTCTATTTTAAGCTCTTTGTTCCTCAGAGATTAAGGGCAGCTCTTCTTTCACCTGAAAGAGGAAGCAAACGTGTAAACAAGCTCTTGGAAACCAGAATTCCTGCCTGAGATTGTGAGCTGCCCTGGGTTCGAGCACTTGCCAGTGAGAAAGCAGTGACCTGCTGCCCTTCCAAGGAGAAGGGATCTTCCCTTTGGCAGATAAATTCTGCTGGGGACATTGCTGACTGATAAATGTCGATTTCTTCTCTTACTCTTGCAGTTTGGGCAGCCCTTCATTTGACAAAGAAATGCTTTATTCTCATCTGTAGCTCTCAGTAACTATGTCCTGCCATGCTCTTCCACTCAGACCCAGCGCTGGTTGTATCTCCTCAGGAGAGCTTCCATCCCCTGCTGAAGGTCAGTTGTATCCACCTTGCAGATCACCCGTCCTGCCCCTTCTGTCTGTCATGGACAAGTGCTGAGGTCGTACCACTGCACACCTGAAAGCAGAGCAGCTTTAGAAGCAAGCCACAGTTGTGGATTTGTACCTTTTGGGCTTTAACACTGCTTGGGGTGCTGACTTGATAACCAGCGATTGACAGCGGGTCTGGGGATGGCCTCTCCCAAAGGGATGCTGCTGGAATTCTGCTGGTTTGCCACTCATTGATGCTTCCCACTTAAAAGAGGGTAGTGGTCTGGGACAAGTGTTTCTCCTGCATGCTGTCTTTCTGCTAGAAGTACCCCATGAATTCCAATTAAACTGGGTAAGCTCAGGGTAAACTACAGCTCAGGGAGGTGGGAGGTTGTGTGACTGAAAAAAATCCTCCAGTGCTGCCACAGAACCACTCTGCTCTCTGCCCAGCACAGTGCAGGGCAGGATGCTGTCTGAATGCACCAGGCTCGGGGCAGTGAGGAGGAGTCATCCCCATAGAATTCACCCTCATGTAGGGTAATGCTTTTCTCAAAGCCACTTTTATACATCAACAAAAATTATAATGGAGTGCTTTAAATACTGAGACAGCCTTGAAAGGCGTGAAAACGTTCACTTAGGAATCCTGAACTGGTACGATTGTGGCAGCCTTTCTTCTATCAAAGGCTGTGCAGCCTCTTGTGGTACGAAGTATTCTTGTGTTTGTTACACTTCTAAACAAAGAAATACGGGAACAGGCAGCAGAAAAGGAGGGTGACACTTCTGGCTGTGGTTAATTGCTGCAAGCTGGTGACAGTTGAAGGAAAATTCCGCTTGCAGACAGACTTTCTCTCAGTTCTTGGTGCTGGTCAGCTTTTCCTGCTTTGTTTTGTTTTCTTTTCCATCTTATCTGCTGTCGCAGAAGCCGTATTTCATGAGAACTGCCTACACACAGTGCTGGGCGCTGTAAGGGCAGGGCTGTCAGAGCTGCAGGTCCCACACAGTGACTGCGCAGCGCCGGGGCTCCTCTGCACCGCTCTGAGAGCTGCTGCTGGGTGACAGCGCGGGGGTGAGCATGAGAAGCAGCCGAACTGCTAAGGTACGTTGCTCTGGGTTGTTTGAGCAAGGCATGGAAGTGAAAAGATAGGTTCTAGTGCAGGGTTTTGATGTTTGGTCTCAGCGTGAGGCTTGGTGATGTTGGAGGTGTTTGATGCTCTCATCCTGGGCAGAGCGCGTTGGGATGTGTTGTGCTGGGTGTCTGTGCTTCTACTGTGTGACAAAGCCATTAATGGGAAAAAGGTTGTTATGAGAGAGCTCCAAACAAAGCAAGATGCCCAGAAATGACTGCTTGTGAATAAACACACGTGTGGAACAATAGATACACAACCTCGAGGTTCCCCTGCTTTGCTGCTCTGTGATAAGTTGTGTGCACTGTATGTTGTCACAGTCGTATGGGGAGCTCCAGACATCCTATTGCAGCTAATTTCCCTATGCTACAACAAACCAGAAAAAGATTTAAAGTGCTCTCTTTGGTTTCGGTTTTTCAAAAGAAACAATCTATAATGTTTTCCACGTGTCTCTGTGTATTCACGTTGTCCTAATATGTTTGTAATGGACGTGGATAAAAGAGTTTGCTGCTGTAAGGTCACAGTACTGAAGTCTTAATTCCTTATTTGGTGCTTGGATTGTCTGACTGTCTGCAAGTCTAACGAGCGGTGTCACAGAAGGATCTTTCAATCCCTGATGATGGTCCCAGTGTTGACTCTATTATAAACTGCTGCCTGGTACAGAGAATAGCAAGGGAAAGAAGCTGGCGAGCAGCTCAGCGAGCCGTGGGCTGCACTCAGCATTTCCACTCAGACATGCAGTGGTGGCAGAACAATTTCTGATGTGAAGTCACCAGGGACTGTTGCATGACATCTATTCCAAGAGCTCTATTTCTGGGTGAGCTATTTCGAGGCTTCCTACATGGCCTGTTGAAATCAATGTGATGGCAGCACAATGATTTCCAGTGCTGTTCAAAGTCCTTGGTCACAACCACAGCAAACCCAGCCAAATCCAGGGGAAATAACAACTAGAAAAAGTTAGATTTCTTTCTGCTATATCATTTATAAACTGTTTGTAAGGGAGCATTAGGCAGTACTGTTCATTATAATATCTGAATGCCATACTGAGTGTGGAAGTGGTGTTTTTCCCACTCTCTGGACTTGCTGAAGCACCAGCAGTGGTGTTCCTCTGCCCAGCAGTGCTCCATGCTTGCTCTGTGCCCTGAGTCTTCCACCTTCATGTGGAAAACCATTCCTGAAGGTGGAAGGTAGGATCACACCCAGAGAAATGTGGGATTTCTTTCTTGTTGCACCTGCAGCATCGCCCGCACAGGAAATATTGCACATCTTGGTGCAACTTACACTGCAGTTAGCATGGCAGGCTGTGCTTGGGAAATAGCTCTCTTATTGCTCAGCAACATTTTCTGTGCTTTTGCCAAAAGAAAACCAGGGGCATTTCTTAAGCAGGTGTGAAGTTAATCTAAAATCTGCCTCTCCATCTGAAATGCTCAGCTTGTCTCTTCATGTGTCATCCACAACCGACTGCATGGAGATTGGGCTCTGGGAGCTCTGCCACTCTGGAATACAAACACCTGCAGCCACACATCCCCATTTCAAACCTGGGAGCACCACCAGGCTCTGCCCACTGCCAAATGGGCTCACCCATGGCCCCACTCCTTGGGGTGCCCTGCTGACACCACGGGGACCTGCCTGGATCGGCTCCAAGCAATGTTCAGTTCTGTTTAATACAGTTTTGTGGCTGCAAGTTGCAGCACTGCTCTGTGTATTTTTGGGAGCTCCTTCCAAAACCCCAGAGCAGTAGATGAGCAGCTGCTCTTTATCACCTGCACCAAGTATTCAGAGGAGGTACAGATGAGTTACTTTGTGCCAGGATTCCCTCTCACTGGGATAACTGCGACGACTGCTGCTCTGTTCCAAGCCCCATCCAAAGGTGTAGATTTTGTTGATATGGCATTTTCAATTCAACTTTTTCTATTTGAGATGTATGGCTTTTCTAGTGAAGTGATTGTGGCTGCGGGAGTGCCTAATTTTATCTTGAAGCTGCTGTGGAAAGAGGAAGGAGAACACTGCAGCCAAAGAAAAACAAAAGCATAAAAACCCATATGATGTGAATGCACCCGTAGCAGTGAAACCTGTGTGTTTGCTTGGGCACAACTTGCTGAGTGAATAGCAGTGATGGATGATTCTAAATAACACTCCTGTTTGATAGCATTGAACAGCTTTTAATAATTAAAGAAGCATGCCCTTTCACCCGCAGTTAATGGTTAGCTTTAATGGTTAGTTTTACTCCTCGGCTTTTCTGCTTCTAAAGAATGTGATTATTTTGCAGCCATTTCCCCAGTTACAGAGGAGATCTGCTCAGATTTTGAGAAACACAAACATGAAAATTGCAAAGTAGGTGGAGACATTTGGAAGTACAAAAGAACAGGAGGAAAAGATGATGCTACAAAAACACCATGAAATCAAACAAATCCATTTCTGGTTCATCCCCACTGCCCCCATTGGCCAGCCAAGATTCAGCTGTAAGACAGAAAGGCATTTCCCAGGGGATGAGGGACATCTGCGTGCCCTGTGCCAGGCCCCATTACAGCAGCAGCTGCAGGCCAATAGCACATGCAGATAATTGTGCTATGTAATTAGCTCCCTCCACTCCCAGCAGTGCTGTGCTTGGGGCTCCCGGTGGTGCAGAAGGAGCAGAGCTGCTCCCGGGCTCAGTGGTCTCAGCCCTGCTTAGGGGATGGAGTAGTGGAGGTGCCAAAATGAAGGTCAACGTAAGTACTGGGTTATCGTATTTCTGGGGTATTTAATTTAACTGTGTGGTTTATCATATTGGCAGTGGAAGTGCATTTATCTGAGACCTGCATCTGGCAGAGCTGCTTCTCAGTGTGTGCTGCTGCTCTTGTTTCCAGGTTACTGTCAAAGTCTGCGGTTTGAACTCTTGAAACACAACGTGAGTTGCCTGGTGCAGTGGTTGGCAATCCTGCTTGGGGTGGGGGTTGGAACCAAATGACCTTTGAGGTCCCTTCCAACCCAATCATTCTATGATTCCATGAGTTCAGCAGAAGAAATGCCTCATTGAGAAGAGCAGCAGTAAGGCTGATAAGAGTGAGGTTCTGTACCGCGAATATCGGGCAGTAATGTGCCTTGCTGAAAGGTTACATGAGCAGAGGCTAGAGGGCTGTAGGGGGATGCCCTTTGCCCTCCTTGTTCCCTTGGAAATAATTAGCGTGGAGAACTAAAAGCTGAGTTTTACTTCAACAGAAAGAGGATGCTGCAATTCTTATGGTGATTAGACAAGGTTCAGGTAACGGAAATGCTTTAACAGCTTGAGTCACTCTGCTGAAGCACTGTCAGCAGGGCTGTGCTCTCTAGGGTAGGGACTGACCACGTCTTACGCTGCTTCTGCAAAGAGAGCTGAAGCTCCAAAGCAGAAAGGAGCAGAGATGCTGTTTGCTTTTAAGAAATACTGCTCTGCTTTGAAATAGTGGTGAAATATTTGGATGAATGAAACCCGGTGTGTAGCTGCATGCCAGTGTTTTGTCCCAATGCATGAGTGGACACAGGATAGGAGCTTGTTTTGTGCTAAGCAAGGGCTGTCTGGCTGCGCACAGCAGTGAATCTCTGCATCCGACAGCACAGCTGAGCTCCTGCAGCTGCGGCTCCAGGCAGGAGCTGCAGTCACTGAGTGCCCCTTGTTAAATAGCACACAGTGCAGCACGTGGTGGGTGTTGGGGCGGGTGGGAGCACATCTCCTTCATTTCCTGGAGAATATTTTAATTTTCAGTTGAAATCTTGTCCAAAATCTTATCTTAACAAGTAATCATAGTAACATTTTCAAGCAGACAACTGCGACGAGGGAGATGGAGGAAGCTGGAGTGCCTGGAAGCTGTGGTGCTGCTGCTCATTCATTATGAATCAGAGAGAGCAGCCTCCCCTGGGCTTCTGCTGTCCTCACAGCATCAATAGAAGCTCTGCTGCAAGGTGTGGGTGATGGACTGTCCACTTGTGCACCCGCGTGGAGAGCAGGCAGCAGTTGCTGCTCGTGGGTATCCGTCCCACTGCGACCAGTGATTGGTGGTTGCTCCAGGCAGCTGCTCCCATAGGGACCTCTGTCCATGCCCATAACAGCTACTTAAAGTCCATGTGTGGAAATAAGCATTGTGGTAAAATACTATTAACATACTAGAAGATTTAGAAAAGGCTGAAAAATATAAATTAATTGGAACGTACAGGCAAATCCTTTGGACAGCAACAGGAACCAAAGGCCAGAAATACATACATTCCTTCTTGAAATGTCAGGAAATGGCAGTTTATTTTTCCTTCATCTTGGCTTGGAAGCACTATGCATGGGAACGGAATCCTGTCTGTGCACAGATGAGGGGGGGATGCGTGCTGGCTTAGATGTAGCCAGGCTTTGGTCAACAGCTTACATGGAGAAAAGAAGGCTTGGGGAGAATGAGCAGCACTGCCCTGTATTCCCATCACTGCAGTGAGGTTGTGGGGCTTTTGGTGTGTTGTGGGTTTTTTTGTGTTGGGAGCAGTGCTGGGTAACCAACTATAAAGATGGAAATTACAGAGAGTGACTGCCTTGTATTTGACCAATTGGTCTAAAATTCAGTAGAAGTGAGTACACAGGAAATTCGTTCACACCTAACTTAATTGAAGCTGTGCTTCCAAAGGCCTTACGGTATAAAGCTGCTTGGTATGGTTGATTGTGTGTGACCAACTAACACTGCAGTGATGAGGTCACAGATTCCTGTATGAGGGAGAGCAGCACCTTAGAAATAGGTTGCTGAGGATGCAGCCTCTCCCCTCCATGTCTGCGCTCCGTCATTGCCTCACTAAGTGAGCAGAAGGAGGGGGGGCACAGCAGCATCCTCCAAAGTGCTTTCCCACGGGGTGATGAACCGCCCTTTAAGATGTGCTTCACCTCAGGATAGTTTTATAGGGCTGCTGATAGGGAAAAAGCAACAAATGCCTAAGAAAAACACTTTGATCTCATCTGCGTTGTTTTAGTGCTCGTTACATGTTGGTCGCTGTGAGGACACATTAATGAGATGACACAAAATAACAAAGAGCAATGCACAGCATTCTGCAGATGATGGTGTCAGACTGCTTCCGCTCCTCTGGTGATAAAGGGAACATTCAGATCCCCGTGGCCCCAAAGCGCAGCTTCCTCCCAGTAAAGCATCCCATAAAGTCTCTGCGACCCTGGGAATGCAAAGCTTGTTTAAGGTTAATGGAAGGTCAGGGATGCTTCTGCTTACGGGGTGGGAAGGGGCTGCCATAGTGATTCTTTATGTAAGTCCTGGGCAGCTGAAAGCAGAGCTAGGGCCTGATGTGTGGCACACAACAGGTGAGCTGAGCTGCACTGCGGGCGACCTGTGCCACAGAGGAGAAAAGCAGCTAGCCCACTGAAAGCTCTTTGCTGCCAGAACTACAGACCTGCCAGTACCAAAACTCGCTGGTTCAGTGCCTTCTTGTATTTCCCATAAAATAAATTCATTGGTACCTGTGATGTTAGGCATTGCTGTGAGTTTGTTGCATTTTCTCTTACTGGTATTAGGCTGATCTTTAACAACGATTTCATTATCCTGAGCTTGTGCACATTGAAGCCATAGCTGGTGCTCCTGAAAACCAACAGAATTTACACTGTTTCTGTGCTGCCCTTGGTGATAGCGATGTATAAAAGAAATGCTGCATGGGTCTATCTTACAACAGAGAAGCAAAGAGAACACAGAACAAGATCTGTTTGATCTTTCTTTTTTTTTCTTTTTTTTTTTTTTAAACACCTTGTGAAAATGTTCCTTCTTCTGTGTTCTTAGAGATTTCAGCAGAAATTCAGAAATAATTTCAGTGGTGTGCCAGCACTTGGGTTGGTTTTGCAGTGAATTGCTGCAAATTTCTGCCTGGTTTTGGGCACTGAAAATGCACTGAAGTGTATCCTCTGAGGACAGAAATTGGTGGTTGTGTGTCTTGTGGTTTGGTTTTATTGTTTTAGTTTCTGTGGTGCGATATAAGGATGCAAAAAGAGGACTGAGTTTGAGAGTTTTGCCTGAGACCTTCATGTAGTTTGGTGGTTACAAATTAGGAATCAGTTATTTTACCTGTTTCTGCCTTCTGTAAAACTCTTATTGAGATTAGTTTCAGGGAGAAAGGATAAGAAAGCTTCACTGAAATGTTTTCCTGAGTTTCTCTGCCCTCCTTCAAACATGCTGAAAAATGTCACAAAGGGACAACGGGGCCTTAAATTCAATCTTTCCCTGCCAGTAAGATTGCTGCAGCAGCAAAGGTGGGGTCAGCTGGAATAAATCCTCTCACCAATACCTGCTGAGGTCACGTTTGGGTGATGCTGAGCACCACTGTACTCATTCCATAACTGAGGCAGTGGTCCAGATGTGCTGTGATGTGTGCAGGTCAAATTCTGACCTGGTGAAAATCAGCACATTTATTCAATAACAAGTGCAACTTGCAATTAAACTTCTGTAATTTTATAATTTTTATACACTAGCTTGGGAAATGCTGACACTTAGATACCCTTTAAAACCATACTGTGAACTAAAGTTTCCTTCTCCTCCTTTTGCTGGAGCTAGGAAGAAAGTTTTGTTGTTCAGTGTAGCAAAGTGGGGCTCCATTCAGCTCAGAGTGGGGCTCAGGTCAGCTCTCCTGCATGAGCTCAGATAAGACTCTGTACCTCAGCTGCCTGTTTGCATGATGAGGATGGTTCCTCTGTTCTTGTGCCCCTCCTTTTGGAGTCTTATGAAGAGGGTCTGTCTTTCAGTGTGTAGAGTGCTCAGCAAAAAGGAAGCAAATGCCAGGAGAGCTCTAGAAATAGGCTGACTAATAGCAGGACTAATAGCAGGAAAAGTGGGGAGGGGTGTTGGGGTTTTGGTTTGGTTGTCCATTCGAGATTTTGGGGGGTTGGTTGGCTTTTCTTTTGTTTTTCCTCTTAGTTGTAACAATGTGTGAAGTGCAGGTGCAGCCTGTGCTGCTCTCTGATGAGATTCCTGGCAGGCTGACTTCAGCACAGGTGGATCAGAGAGAGCATTTGGCATTGCCCAAAGAGAAAGCGGGCTGCCGTGTCCAAGGCAAGAAGGCTGCTTTAATCAGAGCATGCCATAAGGTAAATGGGACTGTTGTTGTCTGTCTCTGACAGCTGCTGATGGACAAGTCCATGCATCATAACAAGGCCATTGTTCACGGCCATTCTCCTGAAGGGGGGTGTGCTGCTAACAGCAGGCTACTTCCATCAGCTGAGCTGACAAATGGGTTTGCTGCTGCTTCAAACCAGCTGTCATTTTACAGCAAATGCTCTGCACAAAAATACAAGGCATCATGTTTCCTATTTGGGTGCTATCTCTTTGGACGTTACTTGCACTTTCTGCTAAGAAACTAATGTTGGAACATCCAGTGGGAAGCAGTCAGCCACATTTTAAGCTGAAAGCAAATGGTGTATGTGAAAGCACTGCAGCTACAGTTCTTTTCATCCTTTGCAGAAATGCTTCATATGAATGAAGCTACCTGCTGCAGCTGCTTTTCATTCTTTTGTCCCATACGGAGTAAGCAAATATCCAAAATCAATATGCAAAAAATAAAGTCTTATCACTCAAGATTGCCAGGCTATATATAAGCTCAGCTGAGGCAGGTAGAGCAGCCCTGTGGTGTTGAAGCTTGGAAAGTATGAATATTTGCTTTCCTACGGGTTTCCTGTGACCTGTCAACTCTGTTCTTCATTGGCTTTCTGTGTGTATGTGTGTGTTTATATATATATATATATATATTTATTTTTTTTTTTTCCTTTTTTAAGAGAGGTGAGGTGATAAGAGCACTGTTAGAGATGCTGAGAGATACCGAATGCTTAAGTGCACCTTGATGTCTGTGTCATGGAGAGGAACAAGGGCACTGTTCCAGTTGCTCTCACCTGAAGCTGAGTTCCTGGGTGCGCTGCCCAGCCAGCAGAAAGAGCAATGCATGTGGTGTCACTGCACAAGGCTGGGAGTTTCTCCCCAAGCTAAATGACGCACGCTGTTGGCCTGGGATCTGTGATGCAATAGGAGACAGCTCTCCAGCCTGACGGAGGGCTGAGGTGGGCACCACTGCTGCCTTCAGTGCTGCTGCCCCAGCACCACCAGGAGACTGAGCTCCTCAGCACTGCTGTTGGGTTTGCCTTCATAAGGCCTGGGGAGAAAAGAAGTGTTTAAGGGGAAAATAAGTAGAGCGTTTATTTCTTTTTCTATTAAGAAACAATTAATTACTAATGTGCAGCTGAAGTCCTCAGATAAACGAGGTGGCAGTCAGAGAGGACAAGGCGAGGTTTATTTTTGGCTGGGTGACACATTTCCTCTGCCTTCTGACAAACAATTCACAGAATGCTCATGGGGAAAACCACCGATTTTTCATTGCGCGATGCTCATGCAGTCCAGGTAATGAATGCCAGCTACGCTGCCAAGAGCCTCAGTGGGAGAAGCAATGCAGAAACATACAGTAGAGTTATTATTTCTGTACAACATAGCAGACAAATGTTAGAGGCAGCTGATGCTCTGGATCCAGTGCTCTGAGACGTGGTCTTTAATTCGAGCCCATTTTGTATCAAATTGAGAAGAGAGCGGAGCTGAGCACCATGGCGGTGCCTTGCTCTGCTGTCAGTGTGATGGTGCTGTGTTCTCTCCCTCAGAACGCGCTGGCGAAGGCTCTGTATGACAACAAGGCAGAGTGCTCGGACGAGCTGGCCTTCCGCCGAGGGGACATCCTGACAGTGCTGGAGCAGCACGTCGTCGGCAGCGAGGGCTGGTGGAGGTGCTCACTGCATGGACGGCAAGGCCTGGCTCCTGCCAACCGCCTGCAGCTCCTGGCGGGCCCACAAGCCCTGCCGCCTCCCGCCATCCCCAGCGATGCTCCAGAGCCACCCGTGGCCTTGCAGAACATCTACCAGGTGCCATCTGTGCCCAAAGGCACTGCGTCGTCCTCTACCTATGAGAAGATGGAGGGGTGGGTGACATCGCCGGCTCGGGCTGCCACCCTGCCTGCTCAGGGGGTGTACCAGGTGCCGGCCTTGGCTGCACAGCTGCTCAGTGAGAGGACACGGAGCTCCAAGCAGCAGGTAGGGTGTGAGCAGCACGGGACCAAGCGCTGCCATTGAAGTGGTGGCCGGGGGGCGGGGGGATCCGAACGGCTGCTGGGTGGAAAATTCCAGTGGAATTTGCAGCAAAGTCGACCAAATAAAGAGCGTTTAGGAAATCACAGCACTATGAGAGAGAGGCTGATCTGGGCAATGTACGATGCTCCGTATTCTGTAGTGTTTCACATTTTTTGACAGTTTAAGAAGGCTGTAAAGCATGGCAGGAAGTATAGAATAAACCATTTGCTTGGAGAAATCTAGAAATGATTTGCAAACCCACCCCAAAGTCAAAATAAGATGAGACAGCACCTTCCTGCTGCTCACCAGCATGCATCTATCCAGAGCCTCCTGGTGCACAGCGGGGGTCTTTGCAGACAACCACACAGGAAGAAGACTTATAACAAACAAGTTATCTTCTGCCAAGGCTGTCTTTCAGCTGCTTTCTCAGAGAGCCATTGCCTTGTAGGCTGTCACTATGCTTGCACAAAGCAGCAGCACTTCTTCAGGCGTGTGGGAGGACGTGGGGCTGTTCAGCTGTGAGCATGGCCTCAGCCAGATCCTCTCCAGGTCTGTTTCTGCTGCTGCTCCTGAGACAGCCAGCAGAGTACATGGGATGGGAGACTTCCTTAGTTCTGTGGGATTACAAACCCCATTTTGCAGGACTCCATTACAACTGCCAATGTGGTCTTTTGTGTCTCCCTGTTGCTTGCATTCGGGTGAAACATCTGATTGGGAAATGTATGATTTGATTAAATGTCACAGTGAGTGTCATCAAAACCTTGTGCTTTCTTCAGCACGAGATTAATGAGGAATCTTTTATAATAAAAGATAAACAGAGCAGGTGTGGAGAGAGTTCCAAGTGCAAGCTTTCGTTCAGTCCCAGGAGCTCTTCAGCTCTGGGTAGCTCTTTATTCTGTGTACGAAAATCACATCCAAAATGTTAATTGGCATAGGAAAGAAGTCCAACCCCTAACCATACAGCCCTTTAGTCTGAATTAATGAGCATTTGATCTACAGGACGCAGCTGGCTGGCTTTCCTCCTGCTGTGCTACAGAATGAGGAGCTGGTTCCTCCTATGCAGCAAATAGGTGCTGGAAAACAGACGTGTTTGGTGAATTTCTGGTGACTGCAAACTGTATTTTCAGCACTTCTGCTGCACTCATGTATTGTTTCCATAACAGCAAGCTCAAACTGGGCAGTAGCTGCCAAAGACCCTTGTGCACTTGCTGTGATCTGGTTTCTCCGCATTCCTAACCACAAAGAAGGCAGGGCACTCACAAACTGAAGTGAAATCAGCGCAATTTTCCACACTGTGCCAAGAAATCAGGGCCTGAAAATGTCATCTATTTCTTCATTTGTGTGAGTGGCCCAACATTAGAGCTCATTGGCTTTTCCTGTCTCTGTAATTTCGTGAGTCCATGCCTTGCTTACTCTACCAGAGAAATGGGGAAGGAAGAAAAAAGAGGAAAAAACAGAAGTCCTCGCTGCTTTTACTACTTCAAAGTTCAGCTTTGCCTGAGCTGGCTCTTGCACAACGTCCCAGCTGTTGCCACAACAACTGCATTGTGGTGGTCACGGGCTCCACATAGAGGCAATCAGGACTGCCCTGCATAGATCCTACCAGACAGCTGGCAAAGCTGCCAACACGCTCAGCTGTTCCCCAAGCAGCTGAGTAAAGCCACTGTAAGTCTTTGAGGGAGATGACTGAAAGTAATAAGTCAAAGCCAGCCTGCTTTCACCCTGTATACAAACACTGCCACTTTGCTTGTTGCCCAGGCTAACCGTGTGTTGAATGAACGAAAGTCAGTATTTTCAAGGTTGATGAAAGGCCTTTCCCAACATTCATCTCTTGGTGTCTTAACTGCTGGTGCCACATATCTGATCTCAGCTCTTAAAACAATGTTTTATGCATATAGAATTAGTCTGTAATTGGCCTAAATACTTTAATTCCCATATAGGCTTCTCTGTTTAAGGAGCTGGATAGGACATCAAGGTAATTGCATTTATTTCTTCCAAATGAGTAAATGCTTCATGACTACAGATAACACATCTCAGCCTGTATCCTTTTGCTGCTGTTATTACCAAGAAGCATGGCTTGACCTCATGGCTCTGTGAGAAAGAAGTAGAAAATCCCCTGCTTTCTTTTTTTAACAGTTCTGCTTTGGAGAGGTCAAAAGATTTAGGTGATAACAGAAGCTGAATTTTCTTCAGATCTTTTCCCTCCCTGGTTAATAACACTGATTCTCTTCAATTCGTATGTGCCCATTCTTATCTGAAATAAAGCAGAAATGGTAGCAAGGGAGAAAATACCAAATTTATCACCATCAGTGAAAAGCTGAAGGTTGTGAATCACTGAAGAGTTCCTCCTATAGCAGTGACCTGTTCAACTACCTGAGTTTTCAAAGGTGTCCTGAGCTTGTTGCCCACTGCAGTTTTCTCATTATTGTTTTGTTTTGTTTTCCCTTTTTCTCTAAGCACCTCTTCACTCTCCCAAGGGCGTGCCGGGCTTCAGTGCCAAACATCACCAGTGAGGTGTACGATGTCCCATCCATGCAGAGCCGGGAGTCCTTACTCACACAGGTACGTCTTCCCTCAGTCCCTCACACACCACTGGGCCCCAATCCATCTCCCTGCCATAGAGCCTCAGAATACAGCTTAAGGTTTAGGGTTTAATTCTAGCATTTTCCTGTTTTGTTTTGGGGTTTTTTTGTTGTTGGTTTTTTGTTTTGTTTTGTTTTGTTGTAAAATTTGGCAGAAAATCATGTATTTTTAGGGAAGTTCAAAACAAAGTAGATCTGTTTTGAATTGATTAGAAATTCAAAGAAACTTGCTTTAAATCTGCTTATGTTTCTTACAAACACATTCAGTTTAACTACCACGGTCCCGATCTAGACTGTGGAAACCAGGAGCTATGCAGTATGTGACCTGAACATCTCTGAATACCAAGGGAGTATTCAGAGGGCTCTAATGTGGGTTGAAACCTGATTTTTTTCCCTTTGGCCAGAGTGGTGCCACCCCACCTGCAGCACGAAAGGGCTCAGTGCTGGTCAGATCTCCCAAGTGCTTCCAGGAAGAGCAGCAGCTCTACAATGTCCCATCCAGCTCAGAGAAGGCTGGAGCTGTTATCCAGGATTCAGCAGTGGGCAATGTGAGTAAGACTTTTTGTCGTGAGAGAATAATCGCCCATCAGTGCTCTGATGTTAGGCACGTTGCTGAACCTCTCTCCAAGTACATTTGCAAGCAAGGGTCACAGGGATAGCATCAGCACATCTTCAGTGCAGCACTTTGCTTCTTACTAAAAAGAAAGTAGTGCCTGTGAATGTCTGCTTGTTTGCAGTATTCAAGCAGACAGAAGCAAACACTTCCCACTGCATGCAGCCTACCCCTGCCACTCTTTGGGAGTACAGCACACCTGACTTTGGGAGCAGTGCTCAGGGGTGGGGTGGGCTTCCCCACCTTCCAAAGATCATCCTTGGAGAAAGGGCTGATCTGAAACTTCACAACAAAGAAAATGCCTCAATGGAGACTCTTCATTAGTCAAGCACCAAGCATCTCAAGTTTCCTGAACAGTTTAGGGTCCAAGAGCACTTTGACATGGTTTAATCATCTGTGCCCCAAATGTTCTAGCCTTCACATCTGCAGGTTGTGCTTTGTAGAAAGGAAATTAAAATTATGGGCGAGGCTTTTTGTGGCATCATTCTGTTGATATTACTGCACGCATCTGCACACTGAGAATTTAGTTTTGTTTCTTATTTCTTTTAAAAAAAACACTGTTTCTAAATCCTATGTGCTCTGATGCAGTTGTATGATGTCCCTCCGAAAAGAGAAACTGATGCTTCAGAGAAGAAATCTCAGAAGAAGTACTGGGGTCACTGTAACACCTTGCCAAATCCTCGGAAGTCAGAATGGATTTATGATATTCCAATATCACCTGAAAAAACAGGATTAAAACAAAACTCTTCTGTCCATTCCACGGAGAACCAGGTGCTATATGATATACCCCCAGCCAGGTACAAGGCACCAACAACAAATGCTGAAGCCAATGTTGTAAATCCAGAATTGTACAATATTCCACCAACACAACGGAAATTAACATTTCCAGATGTCCATCTGTATGACGTTCCATCCTCAAAGGATGTTCTCTCGCAGCAGAATGGTAGCTGTGAGGTACCCCCAAGTCTCCTGGCTCCAAATGCTGAGAATCAGACTTCTGGAGGAAATGTCTATGATATTCCAAAATGTTTGCCCACTGCTACACAGTCCAAGAAGGAGATGGAAAAAAACACCAACCATTCTGGGAACCAGGCATACCATGTTCCCCAACAGCTCTCGAAAGACACCAAACTAGAACACGACAGATTATCTGTTTCTAGTGTGGACAGCAGAAACAGCAGTCTTTCTACATCCTCAAACTCTTCTTCTGAGTCTTCTTCTGTGTCATCATCAGAAGAGCCTGCCAAAGAAATTAAGCTGGACCTCGAGGTGGCCATAGAGACGCTGACTAGATTGCAGCACAGTGTATCCAGCTCTGTTGCAAGTTTAATGATCTTCGTGAGCAGTAAATGGAGATTACAAGAGCACCTAGAAAAAAACATTGAAGAAATCCATAGGGCCGTTGATCACATAAAAGTCTCACTTGGAGAATTCTTGGCCTTTGCTCAAGCCTTAAAGGTAAATGCATCCTACCTCACTGATAATAATCTTCAGATCAGAATTAAAAAACAGCTAGAAATTCTTACGAACTCATTCCAAATCTTGACAGAAACACGAGAAGCCCTAAACAACTGCAACTGGTCCTTAGAGGTTTTGGTCCTCAAGAAACCCTACAACAACCCAGATGATCTCGATCGCTTTGTTATGGTTGCCCGCACGATTCCAGATGATCTCAAGAGATTTGTATCCATCATCATTGCCAATGGAAAGCTTCTCTTCAGAAAGAATGAGAAGGAGCAAGAAGTGAAGCAACCAAAAGTGAGCCCAGGATATAAAATGCCAAAACAAATCATGGCACCAAGCAAAATAGAAATAGATTCACTTCCAGTAAATGCTTCTGATAAACCCAATCCAAGTCAAGGCAGTAATGAGACAACAAAAGAAAATATCACTGAGGACTGTGAATACGTTCAGCTACAGGTTAGTAAAGTGGGATTCTATTATCTATATTCTTGATCATTTGCAGACATTGTCATTTGCCCTGTTTTATCTTTCTATGATGCCAACTTCAGTTTGCACTGCTATCTATTTTCCAGACCTTATGTGAATTCAAAATTTCAATCACATAGGTACAATAATCAGTAATTACAAGCAACAAAGAGAACTCGTGTTAGAGGGTTTGTCCACGCAGCTAGTCAAAACTAAGAAAGATTTGCAGCTTGCCATTTTAAATTCATTTGAGAGACAGTTTTTGTCTGTAAGTTAGCTTTTTCTCTTAGCCTAGTGGATCTCTCCTTGCCCATACATTTCACTTGTTAACTCTGACATCATGATATACATAATACTGATTTTCTACTTTAGGATATACTGTGGTTCTGTAGATTTTTTTTTAATTATTTTTTTTTAATAACAGATTAAACTCTTACTCTGAATTTTAAATTTATTTGCTGGAATACTTTTGGAGTTTTGGTAGAATTATTTTTTTTTCTTAGAATTACTGTAACGTCTGCTAAGAGCTCATTCCCTTAATTGGCTTTGCAAAGGAATGCTGGACATCCTTAGGATTTAGGAAATATTGTGTTTTGTTGATGTTTATTTCAGTCGTAGCTCTTACAGGATTGCACAAAAATCTAAGTAGAAAAAAACTAGAGTTTACTCCAATAAATGCACTGATGTAGTTGGTAATGCAATCTGCACAGCAAGCATTTCCCTTGAAATAAGTGCAAAGCACATTTATGTTTAAATATTTTATGTAAACCACTTCAATTATGCTTTCATTTTGACTTTTAACAGGCACAGAAAATAATTTCTGGCAAAGAAGTGTCAAAGAAGAGTACAGATTCAAAACCAAAGGTATTTCTGATTTTGAAAAGTATGGTCTACAAGGAGTCTCAGTCCTTCATTTCTGTGCTTGCTAAAATTCAAAATAATTTCTGTGTTTGGATACCCACCTCTACACATGGAGTTGTATCTGTTTTCTCTGTTCATTTTCCCACAACTAGAGGTTTTTTAGCTGGCACTGTAAAGCTGTGCAAAAGGTTTATTTCCCTAAATGTAGTTAACCACTCTAAAGTCCTATGGTTCTTTATCTCTGTGCTTTTGTGTCTCATTTGGGGAAGGCTGTGACAGGTAATATTTCAAAGCAGTGCACTGCTATTAGGACTGAATTCATTATTGTATAGTTTTAATTATTCATGCCCCTCGTGAAGTCATTACCATTAAAATCAAATCTAAATGTTTTCTGCTATCCAAAAGCTTGGTGCCCAGACTCCATAAAGGAATGATGTTTAACTATAGAATGTTGTCTGCTATCCATTATTAGAATCAGTAAAACTCCCTCTAAGTGAGGAAACATGGTAAGAATGGAAGAATGTGCTGTAGAGCAAGTAAGAACAAAACCAGCATGCCACAACCTGAATCCATTCTTTTGAACCCTCTTTCTAGGTGTTGCCATCTACAAAAAAGAATGCAGTTCGAAGCCAGCAAGATTCTGCCAAAAAAATTGTTGTTCCAGAGCAATGCAGGCTGTGTTTCGGCGCCCTTCACAAAGCCATTGCTGTGTTTAATAACAGCCTGAGCAGTAACCAGCCACCTGAAGTCTTCATATCCCACAGCAAATTGATCATTATGGTGGGGCAGAAGATAGTGGATTCTCTCTGCCAGGAAACACAACTGAGAGAGGCTCGGAGCGACATTCTCCACAGCAGCAGCCGGTTCTGCAGCCTCCTGAAGAACCTGGCTCTCGCCACCAAAAATGCTGCAATCCAATATCCAAATGCAGACGCAATGAGGGAACTTCAGAATAAAAATGATGAGCTGTATAAATACACACAGCAGTTCAGAGCAATGTTAGAATGAGAGTGACTTCACTTTTTATAACTATCATTAGTATTTTGAACAATGGTCAAAACTTGAATTTCTGTGTTGTTACAGTTCTTTCTTCACTCCCTTGGCAGCCAAAGGGCACGAGCAGCTCAGTGGTGCCAACCCTCCGTCCTCCCAAGCACTCCTGCCAGGCAGTTTCCCTTGGGCACTGCTGCACCTCTAGCAGGTTAAGACCCACACGACAGAAGATGCAGGAGGGATGTGTAGAATTAAACGTGTGCTTCCTTTCCTGCTGTTCACACCTTCTCTAGAAATGTTGTCCTCTTCCTGTTGGGGCAGGATTTTTTTGCTGAGTATTTGAGCAAATGTTATTAAATGTTGTTTTTTATTATTATTATTATTTTTATTTATTTTAATTTCCACACAAGTCAAAATTATATTTTCCTGTTTTTTTTGTGTGTGTGTGTGTGTTGTTGTTTGTTTGTTTTGTTGTTTTTTTCTGAGCACGTAAAGCCTCTCTTTACATTCATCTGCACACCATTCTGTAAGCTGTGATATATTACTGTGTGTACCATCAGCAGCAGTTCCTGGAGCACTCGTCTCAAATCTGTTTTTGATTTTTTTTTCCCCCGAGAGCGTTACCTCTGCAGCTGTTCGATGTTCAAACACAACGAATACATCACAGGACAGACCTCATCTCACTGCTGTTAACCAGAAATGCTCCGGCTGCTGTCTGAGCACGGATAGAAGGCGTGCAGTTCTGCTCCTCCACTCCCACAGCTCTGGGGATCGCAGCTCCATCACTGCCCGAAGCCTCCAGGCAGCTCCTCCACTGTACCCACCTTCTCTGTAATGTCTGCCATCGTCTGTCACCTCCTCTGTCCGCAGACCTGCTGCTTGAAGATGCAGCAGAGATGTGAGCCCTGTGAGCACCCCTGCGGACCGTTCCTCTTCCTGTGCTGCTTGTATTTATCTTGACTAATTTATTTAAAAGTTTTATCTGAATTTTTAAAGTCTGGCCTTTCTTGGTAGCGTGTACTTGTGTTTTCACCCTGGGGTGACGGGGTGGGGAGGTTTGTATCTGCTGCTGTCGTTCGTGTCTGTGCAAGGGACAGCTCCATCGCTGCCGCGCTGCAGTCATGCTTTGTTATTTAAATGCCGGTACAGAACCGTGGAAGAGCTTGGGTTGGAGGGGGCACGTCTGATGTGGCCGCTAATCTCCCCAAATGTGCGTTCTGCCCGGATTTCTTCACGTAAATAAATAAATCAACGCACAGCGAAACGAAGGAAAGCGGCTTCGGGCACAAAGGGGGGGGGCGAGGGCGCCCCCTGCTGGGCGCGGCGCTGCGCTCTGCGGGCGGCCCGCTGTGAGCCCCGCCCTCTGCTGCGGATTGGTGAGCGGCCGCTGTGACGCTTACGGGGTAGACCGGAAGTCTTCTGCCGGAAGTCCTCAACCGGAAGTCATAAACCGGAAGTTTGTGGCCCGTCGGGAAGAGAACACGGAAGCGTAGCGAGATGGGATGCGATGGCGGCACCATCCCCAAGCGGCACGAGCTGGTCAAGGGGCCTCGCAAAGCTGTCAAGGTTGGGGGCTGCCGCGGGAGGGTGGCGGGGATCTCGGCGGGCGGCTGCCGGGCCGGTTTTGTAAGGCTGGGCCCTGAGCTCAGGGACGCGGCCTGTGGGAGGCAGGGCTGGTTCGTCCTGTGGCACCTGGGGATCGGGTCCGGTGCTGGGAGCGGGGCGGGAGCGCCTTTCCTGTATCTGGGGCGATAGTGGGGGCTGTGGTGAAAGCCGCTTTATTCTCTGGGAGGGTTGATAGGCACGCGTATTCTGTTAATAGCACGGGGTTGGAGCGTGTTTCGCTAGGGATGCGGTGTTTGCTGTGACGCATTGTCAACGGTTTACGGGCTGGTTCGGCCCGGTTCCGTGACTAGTGGGGTGGAGGGATTTTGCAAAAACAGGGAACCCCAAAATAATTAAAAGCAGCGGGAACGATCTGAGGAGAAACAAACTAATTTACTAAATATAGTATCGGAATGCAAGATAACACACTATAATAAAATATAATTAAAATTGAAACTAATAAATCAAATATGATGAGAGAGAGAATGTCCAAAAGATGGATAGGCCTCACTACAACACTGAGGTGAGATGCACAGTCCAGTTGAGCAGCAGGGAGACAGGAGGAGAACCGATGACAGAGAGCAGGCAAAGAAGAGTATCAGGTGACCTTGCCAGGAGTTATATCTTAAGACTCTCTGTGACCATAAAATCCCCTGGGGAACATAGTTGTTCTTCTCTTCCAGGCAGGTACCCAGAACTTAAGCATTAACAGTTAAAGTCCCAGTGCCCCACATGATGTTATGATGTGGAATACCAAAAAATCAAAAATCACAAAACCATGACACGCATCTGGGTGCCGTGTGTAGTGGCAACAGGCAGCCGATGCAGCTTGATTTCGTGCTTCCTGCATTCCATCTGATTGCATTCTGAATGTGGTTTGCTCCCATTCTTTAGAATGTTTTGTAGTGTTGGACACGGCACTGTCACCGGGATTAAAGTTAGGAAAAATATCACAGCAAACATCAGAGCAGTTATACAGATAACTTTTAATAATATAAGCAAATAAAAAGTATTTCCGCTCCATGTCGGACTGTGGCCATACTGCTACATTATACCAACTGAAGTAGCTTCAAATCTCAGCCTTTCTGCGTGGTCAAATATTTCATAAATTTCTGTTTTAAAACTGAGCTTTCAGATATCATACCAATATTCCTAGATTTGCTTTTCTTCTTAGTTTTTCTCCTTACAGGGACTGCAAGTTGGTTCAAGTGGGTCTGAAATGTGGTGCTATGGAGATGCACCATAGATAACATGAAGTGTAAAAAAGAATAAATGAGGGAAGGGTAGAGATGGACATGCCAGAAAGTGAGAAAACTGACTTAGAGTTAGAAAGCTGGCCCCAAGATGCAGAAACATTCTCAATAGCTCAAAATTGATCATGAGTTTTTGCTAATGTTTTATGGAGTAACAGGGAGAGTAGTTTTGGTTAGAATGCCTGGGGATTTGATTAACACTTCAAGTGTTATTTGAATTTATATGTAAATAACTTGCAAACAGAAAAGCTGTTTTAAAAGTATGTTGTTTTTTTTTTTTTTTCTTCAGGTTGACAAAACTGCTGAACTGGTGGCAAGGTGGTACTACTGCACTCTGAGTCAGGAGAAGTTATGTCGCCCCATAGTAGCCTGTGAGCTAGGCAGGTATGATGTTGTATGTAGTTCTCTGTATTAAAAGGTACTAATTTGTGAATAAAAGAATGTTATGGACATCAGATATGATTACTAAAAATTTTATTTTGTAGGTTGTATAATAAAGATGCTGTCATTGAATTTTTGTTGGACAAGTCAGCTGATAAAACTCCTATGGAAGCTGCATCACATATCAAGAGCATTAAGGTAAGAAGGTTTAACACTAAGAAGTGCCACAAAATTCAAAGTCCTGCAAGACCTCAACTGGCTTCTCATCTCACTACCAACAAAAATTGCTAAAACAATAACCTGCAGAGGAAAAAATCTCTGCGAACCTTGTTATAGCTGAAAAATCATTAGTAAAGCAGCTGAAGGCTTGTTTGTTTTTTATCTTTCAGAATGTAACAGAGCTAAATCTTGCAGATAATCCAGCTTGGAGTGGTGATAAAGAAAGTAAAAAAGGTGACACGTATGATGACATGCAGTCTGCACGCTTTATATGCCCTGTGGTGGGGTTGGAAATGAATGGAAGGCATAGGTCAGTAGTCTGCATTTCTGAATGTAGGTTATAAAAATGGGTATGATATTAAGTGGAATCTGTAGCAAGTAAAAAAAATTTAAATAATGTAAGTCATGTATGTCTCTATGGGGAATAGATGTCCTTCATTCATTTCATCTTTCCTCTTCAAGAACGAAATGTTATCCCTTTCTGGAGTCAAAGTATATTGTATGATAGAAGAGTTAAGAGTAATGTTTACAGACTTCAAGTTTTGAGGGCTAAACCATGGGTGACTGACATGGATAAGGGGAGAAAGGTTGAGTGAGACCCCCTTCCTCCCCCCCGTGTAGTGGAGCAAATTGTATTCAAATGCTTATTAATATCACTTTTTTTTTATTTTGCTGAAGAAATGCTTTCCTTTGCATTCTAGTTTGGGCAAATTTGGAATTTCTTCTTCTGCGTGTTTTAACTCTGATAGATGAGAGAGGTTGGGTTCATAAATTAACAGCTGCAAAGTGTTTCTTCCTTAAGTGAATAATTACAGTTATTCAGATGGAATTAAAGAGAGAAATGGAATTAAAGAGAGAACCTGAAAAGTAAACCTGTTTTCCTCAGGGCTACCATAGGGCAGTTTTTCTGATGAGGATGATGGAGAGGAGTAGCTCTCCCTAAAGAATTTGAAATGAAAAGGACGACATTGTGAACTTGAGATACATATTTTAGACATACAGTTTATTAAAATGATCTCTTGTCTTTTCTTTAAAGGTTTTGCTTCCTGAGAAACTGTGGCTGTGTGTTCTCTGAACGTGCTCTCAAAGAAATTAAAACAGAAGTTTGTCACAAGGTGGGTTTTTTCTGGCTTTAATAGCAGTGGGGTTAGACATGACCCTCAGAGATAGATGGACATGTGTATGTACATGTGTATTTATATGTATTATGCAGAACTGTGTTCTTATCTACTATTTTAAAGTTCTGGTTTTTTTCATTTGAATATGCAGATTAGTAGCTACCAATTTGTGTATATGTAGCCCTAATTATCTTAATTTCCCTAGCACATTTTGTCTTTATATGACAATATAGTAAAGTGAACTGGAAAAAAATTAGAGAGGAAAAGTAGTGTTGTGTATTGTGCTTAAGCTAGGATTAGGAATTGCTTCCTAACAAATAAGTGTTGCTTTCAGGAAGGTATTCTTTCAAAATGCAAAAACTCTGAAGTGCAGTGTTTGAATATTGTGGTGTCTGGATACAATGTTTCTCCTGGTGTAACTGCTGGTTTAAGAATGATCCTGGTTTTGAGTCAAAATGTATCCTGTGGGATCCATGTGGGCCATGGTGGGTCAGATGTGTGATGTGATGAGTGGTTCAGAAAGAGCAATCCTGTCTCTGTACTCTCAGCATCCAGCCTTTTCATATGTTAGAATCTGATTTTGCTTCATCTCGAGCTGAGATTTGTAGTATAAATGCAAACTGGGAAATCTAGATGGATAGCAGCTCTTTTCTCTACTACTGTGAAATTCAGGAAAGCTCTTGCAAAACAAGCTATTCTTGTGCATTAATCTCACTTGTAAGCCTGCAGACCAGGCTTGGAAGCCTGCTAATATGTTAACAACTGTTTCCTGAAGGACTTTGTGAAGAGACGCATTAATGATGCAGAAAAAACACTGCTGAATATCTCTTCTTCAGCAAGTGCAAACAGGAAGTCTGCAGTCCTGAGCTTTGTATACTTTCAGCTAGATAATCTGAACAAGGTCACAGAGGTCATATATTCATGTGCTACAAGATGCATGTCAGAAAAATGCTGTTCTTCGTGGAACTGTAGGAAATTATTTTCCTTTGCTCAAAGCAGAGGATTACTTCCTTTCTAGATCTTCTGGCTTAGGTCATCAGAACCCAGAAAGTGATAAAACACTTCACTGGGAGATCCCACAGACAGCTATCTCTCTGCTCACTTCTCCATTTTCTTTTTTAATTTCTGTGACAGCTCATAGATATACTAACACGGCGACATGCTTATTGTGAAACAAGTGTTTAGAAGAATTGAATGCATGTGCAGGCCCTGCCTAACCCAAGGAACCCAAGAAAAACACCAGATTAAGAATTCAGTCTCCCTTGGTTTATCTTGGCAGTATTTGCTGCTGTATTGGATTTGGAAGGCTTTAAAGAGCTTAGGTACATGGGAGATGAAGCAGTCTTTTCATTTCAATGATAAATAAAAATTCATTTCATTTCAAAATAAAAATAATTCCTCAGTAGGACCTTTACATGAAGTAGTTGTACTTATGGTTTTACACAGACATGCATTTTTTTCTAAGGCATTTTTTCAGAGTTTTATAAAGCAAAGGAAGGAGGTTGTAAATAGCAGTGGGAAGATGGGTGCTGAAATGTACAGGATGTGACTGTTAAGAGGAAAGAAGAGCAGCAACTTTGCTTTGTGATAAAGGCATTTGATGCTGATGAGTGCTGTGCAGCATGAAGCCCTGACTCAGCAGCTTTCTGCTCTGTCCTGCTTCATGCCTGCCGTTCTTCAGGAAGGACTGAATGTGACATAAAAAACATCAGGTTAAAATCTGCACTTTTAAGCGAGAACTTTTCACTTGCTGTGTGTTTGTATTCTCCATCAGACTGCTAAAATTAAATTAAAAGAACAACCCATACTTGAAAATTGTTTTTTCTATTTGAAGATGTCTTGAACAAGGCTCTCAGTGCTAATCTGTGGCAGTCTGTTCATGGGCAGAGTAATGATTATTGAATTTGTGCTGAAACTTCCAGACTTCTGATCAGTCTGTGTAACATGGAGATTATACAGATGAGATGATACAGCTGTTCCAGATGCCTATCAAGGGAATCAGTGAATGTGTGGCATGTAGTAAGGCGGCCTGAGGAGGGAGAAGGACTGGCAGCATGCAGTGGAGCCACCAAACATCTGTTTTATCATGTTCTGAACAGGCTCTCTGGGATATTTGTGATGGGGCTGCTCTGATACTGCTTACTCTGTACAGATTCCTGTCATTAAGATTGCACATTTCTACCAGTGGTGTAACTAAATGATTGAAGTAAAAGATGGAATTGTACAGGAGCTTTGTTGTCACTCAATGCTGGAAATGCTGTGGTTCTGGCATAATCAGAAGGGATGTCCAGCTTCTGAGGTTTATGAAACCCACTGCACAGAGAGGCCAGAAGGCAGTGAGAAGTACAAATGAGTTGTTATAATGTTCCTTGTACTTTGTTTAATTAGTTCCTTGCTTATGACCATTGTACAAACCTCTTTTTTAACCAGGTTTTTCAAGTGTGGTCTCTGGCTTCCCTTTACAGCTTATTTTGGAAGTGTTTCTACGTTTAACAGACTTTAATATGTGCCAGAAATAGTATCTTAACTATTTAAGTCTGTGCCACATTAAACACTTAAATGTTTGACTTAGATATAGAGCTATTGGACGTGTTCCTCAGGCTTTTGAAATAGGAATTGTGCATACATCTTTCAGATACATGTTAATGTGTGTGCAGAGCCCAGTGTCTCCTTGGACCACGGTCACATTGCCACTTCGTGCTTAGAGCAGCAGTTACCAAAAATTAGTAAGCATCTGCTGAGATCCCAGAGTTGTGTGTGTGTTACTGTGTGAAAGCAGATTGATCAGTTTTGTAATGCATGTAATGCTTTCAGTTTTCAGCTTTCACGGGTTTATTACTTGATTTTTTTTAAACTGTTGATAGAACTGAAAAACAAACAAACAAAAAAGCAACACTATAAGAAATTAATGTTGTTATGATTACTCAGTGATGGCTAAAATAATGTTTCTGAATGATTAAGAATGGGTGGATTAATCAGGGCTTTTATATGTGTATAATTTTGTGATTTAAAATACAAAATCCTTTAGGGAAGGAGGTTTGCTCACCAGTACCTTTCTTAAGCTGACATTGGTGAAGTTGTAATTTTTGTTTTCAAGAAGAAAGCTGCTTCTACTTTTTTTTTTCCCCTCAGTTTGATCAATTCCTGCAAGCTGAGCCAATCTGAAAGTAGTTCCTATCAAATTTCACTTCCTCATTCAATTCAGAGGTGAAACACAGTTGTTCTGCATAGCAGTGATGAACAGTGAAAGCTAGGTACTGCATTTCCTACAGAGACAGCAATGAGGAATGTTACGTTCGTGCTCTTAAAACCAGCATGGAGTGGAGAAATGCTGGGAGAACCTTGCAGTGGATTGGATGTGGTTTGGAGAGGAGTTACTGTGCATTTTGTTCCCTCTGATATATGCAGAGACCTAGCAGTGTCAGAACTGGTTTCAGAAGGATGTTCAACATTTCTGACTGAATGTGCCAGCTGACTTGTTTGTTTCCTTCCATCCATAAAGGAATGTCTTCAGCAATAGTCAGCCATGGGGTAGGCTGTGAGTAGGCTGAGTCCAGGCCTTTGGGTTGAGTTTGTAAGTTTCTGTAAATAAATATGGACCAGATGGTCCTCCTTTAGGTTAAAGTTTGTTTGAAAAGCATTGTTTCCAAGAAACTTGTGTGGGAAAATGAGCATTACAGTTCCAGGAAATTTGTTTCTTCTGCTGTGGGGCATTTGTTAATTCATTTTTGTGGGTTTTGTTTTTGTTTTGAAAAAGACTTAATCTTTAAGCCAGTTTTCCTGCAAAATGAGTGCTATTTTGGGTGTATATTGAAGTTTACAACTAAATTGTTCACAGATATTTCTTTACAATTTGTAGTTTCTAATCAAGAGAATTTATAAACAACAGGATATTTTTTACTCACTCCCATCAGAGTTAATACAAAAAAAAAATGAAGCTTATTTGGATGTAATGGAACTAATGCGTTTTTGCAAAAATAAAAACCTTTTAAAGGAGGAAAAACTGAGATGACTTCTCAGAATTCACCACCAACTCTATTCTGTCTCCCCATCAATCTCCAGTCTTTTCTGTGGCACAATTGAGAGGATTTATTTAAGAGTCCTTAAGGGGAAGGGGAGGAGGAGCTCTTGCCTGGAAGAGGGCTGCGTCCTCGTTCTCTTTATATTACATTCCCTGTTTTGACTTCGGTTGAATATGGAAAGCCACTTTCTTTGTGCAGGCTAATCAGAACTGCAGTTGGTTGCAAAGGATCTGGGAAACGGGATCCTTATCCTGGGTGCTTATGGGTGTTATCTCCAGTTGTTGTCAAGATTCAGGGAAGCTGTGGGGATTGGAAAACAGCTTTTCACTCTGTTTTCCTTTGTTCCCTGGCCTCCCATTTCCTATGCCTCCTTGCCCCAAACTCCTGCAGAGGATGAAAAACAAGGACTTAAAGTAAACACGCATTGCAGGACACCTACTACTGTTACTGACACAGACACCCTTTTTAGTAGGAGAAGAACATAAATAGTGCACGAGTGGTGTTGCCATGCTACACAATGAAATTAGAGATGCAGCTGGCCATGAATAACAGTGAAATAGACTGTGTCTGAAACTGGCTGTCACCTGCTTCTCTGCAAGCTCTGCAGCTTTAGTGACGAGTTTGTCACTCAGAGCAATCTGTTTTATAAAGCATACGGCAGACATGACTTTAGTTAGCTTGTGCTCTTCATATTTCACCTTTGTTCAGTCATTACTTCCATTTTTTTACTTTTATACCACTTAGTCCTCTTTTTTTTTTTTCAGCTACAGACATGGGGAATGTGTGTTTTCCAGTTAAATGAGTCACTTAGAAGATTATGAACTTTCCCCTTGTTACAGACATCATTTTCTCTAGGAATTAATCCTTCAGCAGCTCTTGCTTGCTCTTTTACTGTAGTAACACTAACTGCTTATTTCACTGGTGAAACAGTAGTACAGCATTACAGCATGGGGGCAAGCAGAGTACACCAAGTGAACGAAGTCTATGGATGGAAACATTGATGGGTTCTCAGTATTTTGGGTATACATTTACATTTCAGTTAACCTCAAACATTCAGCTTCATGTTGAAAGAGTTATCTTCCTGAAAACGCCAGTCATCTTCAATTGGGACCTCAGCCTGGTGCAGCACTTTCAGCCTGTGGCGTCTCTCTAGGCAGTCCATCACGAGTGGATACGTTGCAGGCTCAAATTTGTTGGCAAATAAGTGAGGCGACTCGATAATCCACTGTAAATCCCCCAGTCCATAGACACAAATGTCTCTGATGTAATGACCTGCAAAGACAAATTGGAGTGTCTGAAAGCAGCATAAAGCTGGAGGGAATCCTTAAAGAATCTTCATTCTGTGGGGTTGCTAGCACCTCTTACCTTTTGACTTCATTCACTGAAGTGGGTCTAGAGGTTAACACTGGATTTAAAACTTGCAGGCTGTTCTGATTTTGTGTTTTACGTAAATGGATGCGTGCTATCTCCACCTGCTGCTCTGACAGTGCTTATCTCGTGGTGGGGCAGCTGAAGTTCTCCTACTTCATTTGGATCCATTTTTAAAAATGCAATGCTTTACTGAATGAGTTGCAGTTCTGTATATTTAACTATCTTTTGCCTTTTATTCCACATGGTCAGCACTATCCTGCTTCCGTAAATCGGATTGAAGAGATTTCATTCAGTTCTGATGTATCTGTGCTTGTTGAGTAACCCCCTTCTCACTAAAACTGAACAGTCTAACGAAGCTGTTGGTTAATGTAACAGGGGAAGGTAATCGAGTACAAAGAAACTTGCAAAGTAAGAAAATATGTGCATATGCAGTTCTGTTGTTTGCCATCCAATTATGGAGGTATTGTAAGTGGGGGGTTGGGAGAAGGGTGGTCAGTATGTGGATACAGTGACAGTCTTTGCAACAGTGTGTCAGAAGGTATTTGGGTTGGATACAGCAGAGCAGGATGGGTTCTTGTTTTATGTGATAATTCCAAAATAGAATGTGATCCCACCGAGGTTCATTTATTGGCTAGTTTAATGCATAATAATTAGCAGTGAATGCAATTACAGCTCATGATTAAAAACTCGTGTTACCTTTGCAGCCTTTGTGTACGGTTCCTTCTTGATCTTTCCATTTAATGGCTCGTATGTTTCCTTCCCAGTCTGCGTTTGGAGTGGCACCTGGGGCATCTTTACAAGCATAAAGTTCTGATAAAATTCCTTTCTACTTATTTGAGGGATAATTTTGAGAGCATGAGCTTTATCACAGTAAAAATTTACTTTTTTAATTAACTCTTTCTTCTTTAGCCTGAAAGCTAGTGGTCTGCACCATAAGTAGGACTTCTCTAGAATCAAGCTCCATTTCTTAGCCAGCGTAAGACAGGGTTTAAAGGAGCAGCATCAAGACTGAAAGAATGACCACATTCATGCAGTGTAACTAAGGGTGTTGTTAAGCTCTAAAACAGAACTCAGCTCTCTGTCCCATACCCCAGTGCTGCAGTGCAGAGGTAACTCTTAGTAGAAATAACATAAATCTTACCATGCAGGCGGTTCAGTGTGACCCAGTAGTGTTCATCCGGACTGTATGTGTCTCTTGACCATTCAAGCAAGTCTTTTGCACGTGCATCAGTCAGTGTAAACTCTACAAATTCTTTAGTTAATATGTAGTAGGCGCTACCAAAATATATAGTCAAGTTGTATGGAGGTTTAGTTTTTGCATTCTTTGTTGGATACACGTACGACGTTCCAGAATGCACGTATTCTCTGTAACTAACCTGTGTCCTGTGTTTCATGTGGAGTGGTTGGACTACCCCGGGAGTCATATTTTTACCATTCCATTTACTTTTGATATATTTTATAATGTCTTTGTTTGTTTTAATAGGATAATCTTGACCACATAGATTAATAACATAATTCCACTGGATTTTGGAGTGAACCAGATCTCTCATGCAGTTAATATCAGCTTGTAGCCTTGAAAATCCTGCATAAACAACGTTTTCCCTTTTTGAGGAAATAAAAATATTTTCAAAGCAATTTACGATGTTTTGTACAGCAGCTTTATAATCTGTTGGTGACTTCTCATCAACATGTATGCAGTAAATATTCTGAGGTGTATAAATAGCTCTTAGCAGCTTTACAAACATTTCCAGCTCCTTGTGAATTGTGATAATGTACGCCAGTGAGAAATTTCCTTCTTCATCTGACAGTGGTCTCGTTATAAAGTGCAGAGCCTTAAAAACCATGGAACAGTTGCATGAGGTCTGAACACAACTGAGTGCTGCAGGTCTGTAGGTGTTCTGACAAATGTTTCCAATTTTAAGGGCTGCGGTTTTCCCCACAAAAAGAGCTGAACAAAGTTCATCTGGGTAAAATCCACACTCTGCTCTATTTGTGCTAAATTTCTGTTCCTCTTGCTCTGCAGAAAGTGTGTCCTTCAGGTAGATGAAAGTGTAGATGAACATACAGACAGCAATGCACAGTAAAAATCCTGATTTTGTTGCATCGAGTGGGTTCATCTTCTATTATCCAGATACTGTCTTCTGATCGTAGTTTAATTAGGCATGCAGATTATCTGAAAGGAAGATTGAGATAACAAGGTTATATCTCCCTCTCTGACTCTTTTCTTTTAATTGATGACATAGTAGTAGTGCTTTTATTAAGGCTGAGGTTACTCTTTCCAGTTACTAGGAAGGACTGTTTGTGTGCCTGTGCTTATGCTGCAATGCACTGGAAACAGTACTTACAGACCACGAGATGATCTTCCTATGACAAACAAAATTAGGTAAAGCCCAAAGCCCAAATGGCTTTGTATAGTAATTACCTGAGAGAGGTGGGGGAAGGGCAAATAATACAGAAGTTAATTGTACAACGAGTGCAGGTTGGTCGGGGTCCAGCCCTCAGAACTGGGGAGATGTGTGAGCACTGCAGCTAAGGGGCACTCATTGCTGGGATTTGCTTGAGGCCTGGCAACGTCACGTTCTGCTGTGGAGGACCAGGATTCAGTAAATAAGGTCAGCAACAAATTTATTAAATAACCAAAAGAGGAACGCTAAAATGCAATCCACAATATTCAGCATTCTTTATCCTCACAAAGTCAGCAGGCATTTCTGACTTGTTGGAGGCTTTTTCCCCCTTCTCTTGACATCTCTGTGTTAGTGCTTTGGAAAGCACCTAATTTTTCCATTGTGATTTTTTCCCCTGCATACATCTTTCTTGCTGAAATGTCACAAGTGCAGCAGTCCTGAGTCCTCCAGCTCCTCCATGAGGTCTGTACCCTTTCCTAAAGAAAATTCCCTGGAGCAGAGGAAGGGTCATCAGCTGTCATTAAGCTTAATAATCAAGAAATACTTCATTTGTATTTTAAAGAGAATTCATCTTCTGTTGGGCCTTATTTAGTGAACTTGTTTTTAACAAATTTTATAATTTAATCTATAAATATACTTTGCATCATAACATATTTGCCATTATATAAGAATGGAGAACAAGCATCTTTTTTGTAAATGTAGTTTTTTATCTGAATGCTGTTATACTTCAAAGATTCTGGGTTTTCATTAGATAAAAGTGGGAAATAATTTTAAAAAAGAACACACAGCATAGGACTGTTTTAGAAGCTTGAAAATAAAGAGGGCATTGTAATTAAAGTAAAAAAAAAGAGAGAGAGAGATTAGGAATTTAAAAAGCATTAAAAATAGAGAATTTGTACCAAGAGAACAGATACTGTATAGTAGTAATATCTTAAGATCTATTAGGTTGTCAGGAAGAAATGTACTTATTTTATTGTCCTTACCAGTATGCACTGAATTTCATGCTGAAAGAATGCCTCTTTTCCACTGAGCATTCTGGAAAGTGGATTTGTGTGTTAGGTGGAGGATTCATCCATTTTGATTCTGTGTTCTGTCAGCAGTGCTCTTCGGTCTGCACTGATGCATAGGCCAAAGAAAAACACGAGGAAATCAAGGCCCAGAAGAATACTTTTTTTCTCAGCTGCTCCCAAGGGATAAATTTACTGTGTAAACAACCTTGATTGTCTTTCAGCCATTAACATGAAAAAAAAAAACTTCAGCAACTCGAGTCCACTTCAGTTTTTCTATATTACGCAAAGAGGAAGGAAAAAGGAATGGCAGTGTAAGGTGGAAGTAAGGAAAAGGAACGTGTGGTGCTGCAGGCTGCTACCAGCTGACTGCCAGAGCCAAGCAGGGATTTGCATAAGGGCTATTAGCAAAAGCAGAAGCTGGGAGGGAGTGTTACAAAAACACTGAACCTTTTTGGAGCTGAAGCTAGAAAAAACAGTTTGTTCTTAGTGAATAATTAAAGGAGGGACATTGCAGTTGGTTTGAAATAGTGAATGTGATGAGATCTCTGTGAAATTTCACATTCTGTACATAAAAATTTCACTGAAGATACTGGGCAGTTACAGAAATGTTTGGGACTTGTTTGGAAGACAGCATCTGTCTGTACAGGATGAGCGTTCTGTCTGCTTTTCCATTGTTTATTACATGTTGGATTTTTGTTTGTTTTGTTTTTTTATAATTCAGTACAACTGTGCACAGGTTGTGAAGGTTAGTTCTCTGCAGATTCAAGCTGTAACCTATTTGTTCCATCCCTGAAATTTTTATTGCCCATCACACCATAGCTTCCAGGGATGTTTCAGATTGTTAAGTATTTACTGTGGATTTTTCCTACTGAACTGTGTAGCATCTAGAAGCTGTGTTTTATGTAGCAGCATAAGGACATACAAACACTGCTGTCAGCCAAGAGGAAATAATTCCTTCCCCAGTGGTTCAATGATTCTGGGAAATGACTTAATGATGAAGCTTTTCCAACAAGAGCAAAATTTGACATCTTTCAACCTCCGTATATGTTATAGAATGCACATACTGACTTTCTGCTTGTGTGTTAATGGTTCTGGGGCTGGAATTGTCTCTGTTAGTGCAGTCTGTCACTTAGAAGAGTCTCCTAGCCCCAGCTCTGTGACCTGCTGTGAAGAGCTGTGCTACCATATCCTTCCTACCTTTGAAGAGCAAGATCATTTCTTATCATTAAGAATTGGATCCACCATCCAGGACTAACCCAGGCTGCCTTGCCTTTCAATTTTCTTATACTAGAATGCAACTGTAGGTATTGAAACTCAGCCTGTTCTGTACTATGGGTAGGTTTGCTAAACTCAGAGCATGAAGTTGTCTTAATTTTTAGAAGTGCTGAGAGTGCCATTCTTCAGAGAATAGCCCATTGTGGGGATTGTCACGCATCCTTGTGGCTGCTGTCATGGATGTTACCTAATGGAGAATTATTGTCTTAATCCAACTCCATTAAAAGATAAACTCCAGAGAAAAATTCAATTATACCTGAAAATAAGCCTGTGAAATACCACCTCAGTTTATAAAAACTCCATTAACTGTATGTGTTGCAGTACATTTCAGAGTTAGGATGGGATCATTTCACAGCTCTTCCTGCTGTAGGGTTTCAGAGTGCAGCATTGCCTCTCTGAACCTCCCGTCTGTTCTGTCTGTACCCTTTGAACTGGTTAATGTTAATGTAGGCTTAGGAATGCTTCATCTTCTAATAATTATATGGTGAAAAGGCTTTAGCTCTTGTGTTTCCAAATATTTTTCTGTCTGTCTGTCATCTGAAGGATGTCTACACTAAGGCCTGCATAAACAATTAATAAGCAAGTGAATACTAATTTAGCCCTCAATAAACTTAATTGTAAAATTGGTGTTTTTAACTGCTTTTTACTTAGCTTTTTCAATCAGCCTGGGTAAGTATGCTGATTCTGCCTCTGTGTTGTGACATGTATCAAGTAAATGAAAATGTTCTTCTTCAGTCCCAGCTTGTACCACCTTATACATTCTATAGCATTCTTATGTGACTATTACATCAACATTTACCAATAAATGCAAACAGATTTGTGGAGGCGTACCTTCCTATCTATGATTTTGTTGTTGGATGGTATATTTGACCTCATTACAATTTCAGTCAAATACTATGGGAGCATTAAGATACATGGCTGTGAGATGCTAGATGGTTGGAACAGAAGTAAACCACGTATTTGTAAGCGTTGAGACTTTTGACGTAAACAGTGCTTGTAGTAATGGCCAACCTGTCCTGCACATCAATGACAGAGTAAAAACAAACAGACCCTGACTGCAGGCTTGAGTATTCTGTTAAAGTGAAATGGTCTTTCTGAAGTGATTATTTTGCATGAAAATTAGACTGTTTTGTGCTTTATTTAAGAGAGTGAAAAACCTGAAGTCCAAAAATGTAATTTATTTCATCTTACCTTGTCCAGAGTCAGCCAGGAGAAGGCAGCATAATAAAAATAAACAGAGTCCTGTTGTCCTTCAGCAACATTCAGGCACTGTTCTTCATTCTGTTGCTTGTGTGGAAATTTCATATAACCGAAAGGGGTTAAACATTAACATGACTTGATCTGGTTTCCTGTGATGCTTAGCATATTTATTCTGCAGCAGTGCTGTTCAGCTTCAGAAGAAATGTCCTCTGCTTCACGATAATAAGAGAAAATTTGAGCTTCTCCAAATTTCTGGTGCCGCTGTTCAGAGACGATCTTTAAAAGGCCTGAAATCAGACTTTCAGATACGTAGAGTGCATTGCTGATGATTATAAATAGTCGTGGTTTACCTCCAAGGCTTTAACCCCAGTGCTGCTAGCAGAGTGTGCTGGATGATGAGAATGGGAGGGAAAGCTGCCCTCTCTCCTCCTCCTCCTCCTCCCCCCTTCCTCTTAACTGTTTACCTGCTGAAACTTTCCAGATTGCAGCAAAGAAGCATAGGAAGGAAATGCCCTGATGTCTGGCACTGCACGGATAATGGAGGAAATGTCATCCTCCTGAACTGTTCACTGTCTGTGCTTTTATTAGGACTCTTGGGGGTTTTAATAAGTGAAAAATTAACAGTTCAGGTTTACTGGATTTGCAGAGCTGTAGCAGTAAGTGGGAAGGCTGGCTTATTTTGGATACTTACAATAAAAATAGAATATTGCTTGGAAAGATAGAGAAAACCTCAAAGTAAATTGGGACTCAGGGACAGCAGATAGAAAATTGTCACTGACTTGACGGGAAACTGTATGAATAAAGGCTGCAGCTCAGGCAGTCTGCTGTAGTGGGTGCTGTGACTCCTGAGAGAAAGAGCTCAGCACAGAACATGCACTTTATGGAGGAGACCTTCCCACTCATCCCAGGTTGTCAGTCAGTCTTTGTCCTATTGCTGCTCAGACACAGTGCCAGGAGTGGTGCTCACAGCTCCTGCAGTGCTGCCCTTCCAGTGAAGGAACTTTGGAAAACTCTCTCAGAACGTTTTTAGTTAACGATTACTGTCTCTTGTAGCTATTAATTCATCAAGCTTGTGAGGCTGGTAAATGAGTGCTGGCTTGGTCCTTGGATAAATAGCGTGTCTGCTCAGTGCCATCTCTGAATGTTGTCCTATCTAAAAAGGAACGGATGGGTCATGGGGATGCACATCCCCTGTTCTGGAGAGCAGTGTTTTTGGGAAAGTATCGAGTCCTTCTGCCTTGTTCATAATGGTCACATCTGGGAGGACTGCAGGAGTTAATTTAGTGTTTGTAGTTCAGGAAACAACTTCCAGGTTTCTGTAGGACATTAGATTTTAACACTGATGTAAATATCTAGATAATGGGAATGTATTTGCATGTTATCTAATTGTATTGTGAGGCTGCAGTAGTCGTGGATGGAACTGCATCTAAGACACTGAACAAAATAATGCCTATCCGAAGTAATGAACAGCAAGGAATTGGGTACAAATGTTGTTTTCTAAGTTTTGGCCACAGATTTTGTTATTACTGAAAATGGACAAACAAAAACAAAAAAAAAAAACAGCACCTTTGTTCTCTAATGAAGACAACTATCCTACCCTATTAAAATACCCTTATTGTTCACGTGATTTTAAGTCTTCAGGGTGTAATTTTGGTAAAGTTGATGGTGGGTGAGTGTGTTTGTGTGTGTTACAGACACATAGACTGTTTGTAGGATATATAGTGGACATAGAAATGTATAACATCAGATTTTGAAGACTTCTTAATTATATGTGCCTTTAAATAATTCCCTGATGTATGTTAAGCCATTCTGGTGTCACAAATGTACCTTTATGCTTTTGTGATTGGATCCTGAAAGGACATTTGGACAAAACCTACACAGCCCATCCAGCATGTCCTTCAGTGTAAATCCCTTCAGCTTACAGCTCTTCAGTTACCCTGAGTCTCACCCACAGCTCTGCAAGCTGCTGTTCTGATGCCTTTGTCCATTTCACAATAGTGTTTAAGTTCATTGGAGTGTCTTCTGTTGAAAGTGCTGCAATAGCATCAAGGAACTGTGGCAAATACCTTCATGCGTATTTAAAGTCCCAGTATAAACAAGGTACAGCAAGGAGACCTTGTGATATTGTTGGACAAACATCTGCCAGAGAACACCTTGATCAGCAGGAATAACCTTTCTGAATTTGCAAAGCTGAAATTCCTTTGTTTTTTACACAAACATTTCAAGTCCTTGAATTTTATTATTTTTTTTTTTTCATGAGGAAACAGTGATTGCTTCTAAAAAAAACCAACCAGAATTAATATTACTATCTACTGTAATTGGAAATTAGAGAAGGTGGAGTTGGTGCAATGGATCTAGCTTGTTGCAGTTGGGTACGTTTGGATGTGTTTGGCTTCTGTAATACCAGCTGGCTGTTGTTGTGGCAAGAAATGCTCTGGTCTGGTGTACAGCATGCAGTCTTTTCCCCTGTTCTTATGAAATTTTTCATTTTAGAGGAGTTCCACTTGTGTTTTCCAGATGAGAACCCGGAATTTCTTTTCTTTTTTAAAACATAACATTTATTAAGATTAGAGTCCTTTCACGTGAACCTTTGCTGCAGGAAGCAACCTCATGGTTTTGTATGCTTAATAGGATGTGATTTTAAAAACTTGCACAAATTACTTCCTAAGTCATTAGCCTATAGGTGGGTGGGTGTATTTCATGCTGCATTCAGAAGAAAATCAAAGAGAAATGAGCATGGAGGGCTTCTTTGGAATCAGTGGTGTTCCAGTCATTCTGTCCTTGGGATAAAGACTGATGGTCTGTCCTGCCTGGGGGGATTCTCACTCCCAAATGCCTGAGCTCAGACTGAGCTGCTGTTTCCAACAAACTTAGACTGCTCTCCCACTTCCTGTGTGAGACCCACTGTTCTGCCCAATGCTCTGAATACTCTGCAACCCTTACTTCTCTGTCATAGTGTCCCACTATTCATTTTTCAAACTGTTCATCACTTGATTTACCCCGTGTTTGTTGTAATTAAACAAGTGAAAGATATGTATGGTACTTTAATGCCTGCTACCAATACACGAGTAACCTTTATAAACCTCAATTCAGAAAACAGAGGAGTGGTAACAGAGAGGAACATAAACCAATTCTGCAGATTTGCAGAAAGCCTCTGGATTTACCAAAATTAAAAATAAATGTAAATGTAAAAAAATAATGAGATCTTAAAATGGAACATGCTGTAGTGGATGTGCTGGGTGTTCTCCAGATGATTAAAAATTGTGCAGGCAGCTGTGTACTCAATCAGGAAACAAGTTACATGAAGCAGATTACTTATATAATCCAGATTAATTAATAAATGCACTTTGAAAATGTAAAACTTGGGTAGTGTTTAATAAATCAAGTGAAGTACAGTGAGATAGCAGGGCTGGGTTAATGAATAATGCCATTTTTGTGACTCCTTTGTTTAAATGAATTGCTGCTCTCAGGCATCATTGCTTATATGACTGTCAGTAAGTGGAAAAATGCAGTGTTATAGTGCTTAGGTCTTAATCAAATGCATTCACAAATTAAAAAATCTTAATATTTTCATAGCTCTGAAATTCTTTTAGAATATGCTGTGCAGATTGGTGTGGGAGCTGCTTTTAGATGTGGTTATCAGAAGTTCATGATTCACTACAAAGCTGAATGTTTTTCTTTTTGTAAGAATGAAGTGCTGACAGTTGGTGCTGTTCTGCTCAGTAGTAGAACCTACCAGGATTTTCCCTTTGGTGTTATAAGTGCTGTATGAAACAATTAGAAGAGACAAAATAATGGAAAAGACAAGCAGAAAAGGAAAGGTTAGAGAACTTGGAGAGAAAAGGGTAATCAGAGGGGTTAATTCTAGCAAAGGTTCACTAGGGTGAAGATCCTGAAAAAGTAGTGATTTTTGTCCTCTTTCCTTGAAGTGTGGTGTTCCCTTTCAAGAGGAAGATGTGATTATCCTTAATGGTAACAAAGAAGATGTGGAAGTACTGAAGAAAAGAATGGAGGATAGAAGACTCAGAAGTAAATTAGAAAAGGTAATCTTATTTTATATGGAGTTATTTTGTATGGTGCAATCTTCTGTCAGATCACATAACTTTTTCTGCTGCTCTTTATACCCACTGGAGGATTGACTTGGAATGCTGTGTTGTACTTCAGTGCATTTCTAAAAGCAGAGCTTTTGCACTAACAGTATGCTCACCTTGTATCTGCTGGAACTTTCTTGTGACTAGCAGGCATGGTGCTCTGAAAGTCATGGAATTCAGTGATGTAGGTATAATGAAGCAGGGTGCCAGAAATGTGGTCGTGTTCTGCAGTTCTTAACAGTCCTGATAAATGACAGTTATTTTTCTCACTGTGCTAATGAGGTCTTGGCATATTTTTTTTAAATTTAAACAGACAAAATGCCATCAAAATATCCATACTGTGCACTCTAATGTATGCTGCTGTTATGTCAAGTAGCAGTTGCTGTATGGCACAGAATTGTCAAATGACAGCAGTGCAATGAGCTGCCTGTCTTCCTGCCCGTAAGACAGAGCATGAGGAAGAAGGAACTAGCACTCTTCTCTAGCAATCTTTCACATATGTGCCCATGATGAAATATATATGATGTATGTTCATCTACATTCATATATACTATATGTAATGTTGCCAGATGATGGGAGGTAGCTTTTCCTTCTAAACTTGTCAGTAATAACAAAGATGAAAGCACCCTGAAAATAAGGGTGGGTTTGTTTTGTGCATTTACAATGAAGAGCTCCAGGAAAGCCTGGCCTGCTGTCAGCATTATACAGCTCTACCACCACCTTCTGGCTGTGCTCTGCAGCAACATGTGGTGTGGCTTCTTTTTCCCAAAGCGTTAATCATATTCTTCACAGCATGGGTTCTCTTAATTCTTGTAAAATATTTAAATAATTTGTTTTCATTGTGTTTGTCTGACATCCTTGAGTTATGTACTCTATTCTGAGTGTATGCAGTCTGCTTTTGTGATAATAACACCAATGGCTGTTCTACTACATCTTTCTTTTTCAGTTTGGCATTTTATGTAGCCCAGGCCAGTAATGGGATACTTGTTGTTGCTGCTGTTTATGGGTTTTTTTTTGTTTGTTCTCTTTTTTTCATCTGGACAATCATAAATTAACTTGGAAAATCTGGTCCGCAGATGCTTTTAACATTTTCCGATTAACTGTTCACACCTTTTCTTCCCAAGGAATTTGCAATAAAGGGCCCAGTTAATGCAAGTTACCCAGAAGGGATTTTTCAATTAACTAAATGAAAAGATGTGATATAAGATGTGGGATTATTCTGAATTTCTTAATGAAAAATATCTTTACTAATTACAGTTACTTTGTCCTGTTTGAAGTCCTTCCATGTCCTGTCCCACCACGTGGGTCCAGAGCATGAGATTACATTGGTGATTATCCCTCCTGCTGCCCCACTGCAAAGTGTACAAACCAAAATAGCAAAACTGGATGGTTTAGTTTTGGCCTGTATGGTTTTCTTCAGGATTCCTTTAAGGATTCTGAGATTATTATTTTTGCCTCATAAAAATAATGTAAAACTATGGAGCGATATTGTGGAAGGAACAGTTCCATTGTGTAAGACATAAAAATGTAGCAAACTGTGTGTGTATCAAATGCAAACTGGGAATTACACATCCAGTCAGTACCTCATCAGATTTCTGCTTGTGTTGTTTCAGAAGTCAAAGAAGTGTAAATCAGCAGAATCAGCTGCCCAGCAAGTCACCACTGAAGGTAATTTCACAGCTGTACATTAACTGCACTCTTAGAAGTCATGAAACAGATGGACAACTTCACTTTTTTATTTCACAGATTCTGCAGGTCCATCTAAAGTTAAGAACAGAAAGGACTGCATTGCCTCCAGCTCTGGGGAGAAGAGACACATCATCTTCACCAAAAGTTCAGGTTGGTGGATGTGCTTTTATCTAAATGTAAAAAAGCATACCAGTAGATATACTTGGAAAAATAGTGTAATCCATGTCTGACAGTTTTGTACTGGAGTTTTCAGAAACTGCCCTGTTACTTCCTTTATTTTTGAGTCTTTTTTCTGACTTTCGAACTTCTTCACAGCCTATCTTAATATATTATCTTTCTCAGTAATAAAAGGTCAGTTCCTGTCTCCAAGTGAGCCACGATTTCATGGCTTGCTTTTTCAAAGAATCCACTCTTTTCAAAGCATGTCCTAAAGGCTGTCTTTTCAGGCTGGAGTAGGAGGCTGCCTCATGAACTGGCACAAAGCTCCTTGCTCAATAGGAACTGTACTCAGCTTTTTCTTAAAACAGAGTTTTGCAATACTGTCTGCAAAAAGTGTACAGGACTACAGAACTGACTCTGCAAAAACTCTGCAAGGGCTTCTGATTGTCAGTTCTTCCTCATTCTGCCCAGTTTGTGCCATCTACTTCCATCATGTAGTGAATTTTGGTAAATATCAGTATAGTGGGAATTGACTACTTATTATAGTTTCATAATACCTAAAACTACAGACTCTTTCCACATGCTTGTGTGTGGTAAGTGTTGTGGTGAGAACTAATCAAGTAATAAACACTCTTAACTAAATTGCATTTTTTTAATGGGACAAGGCAGACTGTCATTTCAATATTGCTAAGCTTTGAGTTGGTGGAAACCAACGTGAACAAATGAAATTAGAAATTCTTACTCACACAGTTATATAGACAAGGGTTTGCTGTATCCATTTTATTGTTTTCCCAGAGTGCAAGTGGTCAAAAAAAATCTTCCATGTCAGTTCATTTCAATGAAGTGTATTAAAATATCCTGAGCTGATGGCTTGACTTGTAGTCGTTTATTTCAGCTGTTAGTTTGCTATGTGTCTCTGGTAGCACAGGAATAGAACTTTAGGATGTATCGATGTATCTACAGTTATCATGAAATTACAAATAAATTTGCCTCTCCATTAATCCAAAGGACAGTGAATTATCTATAGGAAATACATATTATGTTTTTTGACATCTTCAATTAATACTGATGTTTCGTACAGAAATTCAGGTGTGTTTTTCAAGTCAGTCTGACATTTCAAGGTGAAGAATTCAAGTACTGCAGCCACAGGAAAAGACAGTATAATTTGTTTAACGAATCTAATAATAATTTATCTACAGTTCATTATTTCTCTGTTTGAGAAACGGAATTTCCATTGGAAATGCTTCACCTACTCACTATTTTCATAAAGGTTAAACTCTTGAAAGCATTTAATTTGAGATCTATTAAATTGCTCTAGGATGTTTTAGAACCTAGTAGTTCTAATGATGTTTGATGTCTTTTTCTTTTCCAATAGTGCAAAGGATAAAAACATGTCTTTTGAAATGTCAGGTTGCTGGTTTGTTTCTGACAGCAATTATATTGACCAGAAGGGGAATAGAAGGAGAGAGAGAAAATAAAGAAAAATCCCTGGAGTGAGGAATGCCAGTTGCATAGGAATTAATTTGTGAACAAGGCACCCCAAGGTTTTTGGACTTGCAGCATACACATTCATTTTTTCAAATCCATTGTTTGGTAATTCTTTCCAGACAACTATTAGTGCCATTAAAAGCTGCGTTCTCCAAATACATAAAAAAGATCTGATCTGTCATGCTTTAGAATTGCATATAGAATTCTTATGACTGCATGCAGAAATCAGATAAGTGGATTTTCAGACTCCCCACTAGTTATTTACACACAGTTGTGCCTAAGATACGTGAGATGTATGGAGTTTCTGCAGGCTGTAATGTAGTAATTTCTTTGTGCAAGAGATTTGTTACATGCTTTTTGAAATACTGTCTTCCTGCATCAGAGAAGGATACACAGTCATTTAGAAAGAGCAAGTTTTTTTTAGTTGGGTTTTGTTTGGTTGGTTCTCTAGCAGTAGATATAATACACTGAGTGAGATGGCATCAAAAACAGAGGGATGGGTGTTTTTCCTATCCCAAATATTAAAAAAAAAATAAAAAATAAAAGAATGTGGACAATTGTTGTAAATGACTTTGCAAAGAATAAAGGGAGAAGATTGATTCCCTGGGGACAGTATTTCACAAGTTTACTTTGCTCATTTGATAGCTGATTTTCAGACAATACTTCAGAGTGATGGAGTACTTCAATGTTTCTTTCTTAAAACTCAAGTTCAGAGCCATTTTTCACTGGGAGGAATAAATGTTGTCAGTACTGAGTTACAGCACAAGGGGGTTACATGAGTAGGAAAGAATTACTCTCCAGGATTTGTAAATGCATTTTCTGCATGAATCCTATGAGCCACGAACATGTTACGGTTGAGTTACGTTTTTTGCGTGTGTGGAAAAAATGCCTGTGCTCCTTGTCTGTTCCTACAGTATTTTAAACAATTTTACCAATATTAATGTAAATACCTCTTCGTGTTGGTTTTTTGTTGTTGTTGTTGTTTTGTTTTTAATTGTGAGCTGTTACATATGTGTGATTCTATTCCTTTTTTTCTAGCAGATGACAGAAGTTCATCTGTCCCTGGAAAAGTCAGTAAGGCTTCTACTGCCACTAAGAGATCCATTGCAGACAGCGAGGAGAAATCTGAGGCATACAAATCTATTTTTACAACACACAGCTCAGCAAAACGTCCAAAGGAAGAGTGTTCCAATTGGGTTACTCACACAGCATACTGCTTCTGAAACAATGATGAGCCTGATTGTAACCTTCAGCACTGCTTTCCTACCCTGAGGCTTTTTTGTACAACTCCAATGCAGAAAGTAACTGTTTGTAAACTAACAAATAGCTAATGAACTTGTGTTAGTTGCAACTTGTATTAAATAAAAAATAGATAACCAGAATCCATGTTGTATCAGCATGCTGAAATGATGGATATTCACCCTGTGTGTTTTTTGTTGTTTCCCCAGTTGTATGTGTGCTACAGTAACTAGTCTCAAAAGGAGGAACGAGGATAGGAGAATCTGCCTGCTCTCCTGTTGATGTTTGCTGCAACTGTATTTGAAGTTTTCATTATATCAGCACAGAAATTCAACTTTCTTAAAGATTCTTTAGGTGTTTTCAAGTAATGTACATTTTGATGGAGCACCATAACTGTGACCCTTTGTGTTCAGTTGCACAGACATATAAACGCTTATTTTGTTTGTGTTAGAACAGAATAACTTTTCATCATAGTGTATTATCATGGGGTTTCCTTTAGCCCTTTTATTCTTAGCTTTTATTCACATCCAGGAGTCCTATTAAAATGTTACTATTCCATAGCAATGATTTAGTAGCTGAATATTTGAATTCTGTAATGCCTGCAGTGACCAGGAAGAGGCATGGAGGCTTTTCACCTTTCCTTCTTCCTTTTTAAAAATTAAAATCTGCTTTATTGATCTTATCTCAAACCAACCAGAATAGGAGTGCAGAAGGTAGATGGCTTTTACAACCACTGTGTGATGCTACAGCGTTACTTTTGTGTGTGAAAATGATTAATTAATCCTCATCATTTCTTTTGAAAAGTGTCCCCGTTTATAATTGGCAATAGTTAATTGGAACTGCAAATGTTGTGTTTATATTTGTGTAGGTGATCTTCATGATTCAGGCGTGTTGAAAGAAACTGCTGGGATTTTATTTTTATTTTGATAGGTATAATTAAACATTGGCTCTCTAGAGTTTATATGCATTTTTGTTGGTGGGTCTACATATCACAGCGAAGTTTGGGGCTTACTTGAGCTTCCAGGAGGTGAGCAACCACACTTTCTAAGCATGTCTCGTTGTCAGCTTTCTTCTTTCTGCTTTGTATTTGTTTGTTGTTTGTTATTTGTTAGTTACAGATAATGAAGTTTCTGCACAAAAAGACAGACTGCAGCAGTCCCTTTACTTGCAATCTGATTCTGTTTTGACAACATGGGTTAAAGTCTTATTTATAGGATTGCATTTTTCTTTCACTTAAATCAGTTTTAAGGAGAATTACCTTAGTACTTTTGATTTAGCTGTTACTTTGCTGAAGAATGTGAGAAAAGGCCATGTGCAATAGTGCTTCCCTTTTCCTCATAGCACGTTAGGCAGAGGCCTACCTGCTGACTGGGGAACGAACTTTCCTGCTCATTGAGGCATTACAGAGGTTGCTTCTTTTCCATCTGGCCTGCTCAGCTATTAAAATAAGTGTATGATTACCATGATTTGGTTAATATACTAATGCTTTGTATACACTTGGGTTTATTTTCTGGAATTGATCGTTTGTGCTGTTCCCTTTCATCAGAAGGAATTCTGTTTGGTAGTTTACCATCCTGACTTTGTGGATGGAGTTCTTAAAGTTTTGTTTATGGTTTATGGAAGCACTGTCAGTGACTGATGAGGTCTTTTCCTTCCCTTTACGAAAAACAGCTGTGAAGGAATGTGATATATTGCTGGCGTGTGATGCAATTCATCGCCACAATTGACTTTTGTTAATGTAAAAAAGAGGAGGAAAAAATGGACACTTCTGTTATTGGCAGGCAGTTGAGACTGGAACGTTGACTTGGCAAGTTTTAATAGATTCAAGCAAATAGTTTGCTGGAGGATGTTTGCTTTGTTGTGGTTTTCTTTTTGTGGGGGAGGGCAATTTAATTTTCTTTTAATGTAGGTGAATTTGAATGTTGGTGAAAGTTGAAGACTGCAGAAGTTTGAAACCTCCTCTATTTCTGAGATGCCATGTAAGTCCCCGCAGCATTGCATCCGTGTGCCTCTGTTCTGAGGAGTTCACAGAACAGCTACTTCTGTTTCCATGAAGTTCAAGCCTTGGCCTTTCTTCTGAATAGCCTAAAAAGGCTCCAGTTAGCGTCGGCTGTATTATAGGGGGATACTTTTTATGTGTTGTGGAACCTGCCCACCAAGAACTGGACTGAGATTGAACAGCTTCCTTCATGTAATCCAGTAATGGTAGGCTGGTCATGAAACCTGGCCCAGATATGCACCCCTGGGCAGGAGCTGTAAGGCTTTCTGTCCTGTTGTGCAGTCCTGTGAGCTCTCTGTCTTTCTGCACACTGGCACAGCATTCAGTTCTTTCAATATTTGTACCTCTAAAACTGAAAATCTGAGGCTGTCTGTACGTTTGATCTCCCTGGAGATCAGCCTGCTCTCAGTTTCAGTCCCATAGCTCTATTCCCTACTTGCACCAAATCAGATGTGGTATTTCATGCCGCCCCACAATGAACGACCTGCTCCCTTGTCCTCAGAGACAAGCAGCATCAGGCCTTGTGATGCAGCTGATGAACCAACCTGAGCTGGGAAGAGGCCCAGAGATGCTGACACTGTGGCTTTGTCCCTTCTTGGAGGACCATGAACTTGGGGCTACAGAGGTGAGTTTGGGCTGGGTTTCTCCCCTGCCATGTGCACACTGCAGTAAAAGGTGACATTTATTTCCAAACAGTTCCTTACACATCTCCTGACCTGAATGTGCTTCCAGTGCCATTCCACTCCAACTGGCAGTCAGGCTGGAGGCCTCTGCAAGGATGTTCATTAGCAGTTTTGCCTCTCCAACCATCCTTTCTCAGGACTTCTTAGAACTGTGTGTCTTCAGGGCTATTTTATATCTCTGTGAAGCTGAGCTCAGGTTAGATAATGGTTTATAACCTTGCTGGGACAAGTGGGAGTGCAGCAGCTTAAAATCTAGAAAATGGGACTGATGTCCCTCAGAGAAGAAGCACACACACATGTATACGACCCCAACAGCTACCAGGAGGGCAGAACTGGAAGAGAAATGAGTAGATATGCTGGAGATAGTGGAATTCGGTGGCATCCTGCTGATAAAACTGGTTAGTGAGTAATAAGCTTCAGGGGACACCACTCTGTAAGAGTATTTTAAAATTTTATTTCAATGCTTTTTCTAGAAGTAAATGCAGAGTTATCCTCTATCTAGTGGGAATACAGGCTGTATGGTGGGAAAACACATGCTGTTTGCTACAGCAGGTTTACTACAGCCTCCAAACTTCTCTGCTTCAGCCTCCAGCTTCCACACCATGAGATCATCACATGCCTATCAAATTGGCCAAGAAAAAGCTTTCAGTGTTCTTCTCTTTAAAACATGATGTTTGTTAGATTAAAATATTTCTTATTAATGTCCTATTATTAGCTAAGCTGAATGAACACAATTGTCTTTAAGTGTCCCATCTTGCTTGCTCTGCAGCCCAGACACCAGTTGCAATTGGTATATTTTGTTCAAGATTTAAACTGTGGTGACCCTGCCAAGCAGATTCATAGCTACGTTTAAAAATAAAAGGGCTGTGTATATATTACAATCCACAGACAGTCTGAAATCAGGACGTCCTAAGATGAATACAAATCATAAACAAGAAGTGTTTTGTTAGAAGGCCTCACAAATATGGAGCTGATTACTGCTAGACAGCACAGATCTGCGTCTGTAAGATGGGACTGATAGAATTCCTTCCTGACAGCTAGAAATTACAATTGGGCTTGGTGGGTTTTTTATGTGTTTTAAACTTTACCAGCCTTCAAAATGAAAAAGAAAGATGGAATCTTGATCCAACTGCACTCAATGGGAATTCTGCCCGTGAGCCAGGGTTTCCAGACCCATCCAGGTTTCCATATCCATGCAGCTGCCCAGGACTGGAGGTACTGCTAACAGCTTCATAGCCATGGTTTTGTCAAGCAATTTTACTCCACATGGATTGAAGTATCTCGCACAGGTCAGTGACAGCATTCAATCTGCAAACTGACCACGGAGCTTATCTGGGGGAAAGAACCGATTCCACTGTGACACTGAGTAAAGTGACATCCTCTCTTTGTATCCAAATGCTGCCCTATCAGCTCTCTGTGCTGCACCCACAGCTGCTCAGCCCTTGTGCAGTGCTTGTCAGCATCACTTCTCTAAGCTTTCATTAAAAGTTAAGGGCACACTTAGTGAGAAATGTCCCCTTTCTCTTGCAGAGGCGTTCATCCATCAGACTGCACCAGCACTCCTCCATCCAGTTTTGCTTTGTTTCTTCTGCTGACAGATATCAGAGCAGTGTTTTGTGTAACAGCCATTGGTGGAGCAGGGAATGGTGGGATGGAGGGCTCTGCATCCGTTTGCTCACTGGGGCCGATTTGTGTTTGTTGTGTGGCTGTCCCATCGGCAGAACCTTCTGCACCCTCCAGGCCATGTCCTGACCTGTGCAGCAGCTGGAGGCATTACCCCAGGCTGCAGTTCATCACCTCATAGGGTTGCCTTGGGACCTGGCGTGCAGTATGTGAAGAGTGGGGTTCTGTTTGCAGCGCAGAACACAGTGCTTGGTCTGGCTTTCTGTCCCGTCCCATTGCCCTCTGATTCTCTGGCACCAGACAGACGTCCATCCGCTCCCTTTTTCCATGTAGGTATTTCCCTCTGTGTGAGGATGCCTTAATGATGACACATGGGGCACCAGGTGTCCGTACTGCTGTGCGGTGCCATTTGTGAGTGAGGAAGTAATGCGTTCTGTGGGCTGAGCTGACTGGGGAAAGAAATTGGGTGTTGGATGAAAATAGCGTCACTTTGGCATTCCGTGTTTCCCAAACAGTTATAAATGTCACATTTTTATTCCATGAGCTTCCCTTTTCTTTTTCTTTAAATTAAAAGTAATTCCGTGGAGCCACTTAATATCCACTTTGCAGCAGTGAGTGCTTTCTGCCACGTTAGCTTTGAAAGGGCCGCATTGAACAGATGGGTGGAGCTGCCTCCAACTTGCCTACAAAGCTGCAGAAATGCAAAGCAGCTTATTGCTCAATTGTGCTGACTTTAGCAAACTCGGTGGGACAAATTAAAAAAAGAAAAAGGGAATATCTAGTCTCAACCTGGAGATTTAATGGGTCCCGAAATGTGCTGAACTCTTTAGTCTAAATGGGCTCTTTAGTGTGGTGTCAAATAAGTTAAAAAGCGAGGGAGCTTTATAAAGCGTGCTTCATTGTTTAAACTTGTTTAACTCATGTTAAGGCTAATGTACGTTTATTCACACTGACAAAGTGCTGAATTTACACAACGGGGATAGTAATAATTAGGTCAGATACTTTTTAAATGGCGACGGGGGGGAGGTGGGGGAGAAATACTTGGGCTATTCCATGCTTGCGAATGGAAATACCGATGAGCACCGAGTGAGGCCGAGCGCTTCTCAGCCCCGAGGAGCTCAGCAGCGGAGCGTCCCTTAGGCAGCTGCTCGTGCTGTTCCCTGCTGAGACCGATAAATGATGAAATCTCTGTCGTTAAGACAGCGCTGTCTGTTCAAGCCAGGGAAGTTCAACTTGAATCGTTGCAGGTGCCCGCTCAGCTCTCTAGGAACGGCGCAGTGCGGGCCGGGGCTCCGCACAGCGGGGCTGCTTTCGTGGTAACGTGTTCGGCTCTTGTTGTGTCCCGGTTTTCCTGGGATTTGAACCAGCCCTCCTGTTCAACTCAGCGACCCACAACCTGCTTGCCTCACAGCTGTGGCCAGCAGCGGGCTGCTGGGATCCCTTTAGTCATTTATTTCCCCATTGAGATTTAAGCTACTCGCAGCTCACTCGGTTTGCGTGTTTTCCATTCTGGCAGCAATCCCCGTGCCGTCGGACTGGCTGCAGCAGGGCGACAGCAGAGCTTCTGCAGAGGGGAGCTGGAATTCGGCTGAATGGCCAAAAATTGGAGAACGAGTGAACGCGTACCGCTGTGCTGTGAATGCATACGAAGGTTCCTCCAGTGCCATAACCGGGCATCCCCGGCTGGGGGATGCGGAGCTGCAGCATGCATCTGCTTCAAACCCCGCAGAGCCTCGCTATGTATGGGCACTACAATGCAGCTATTCCCTCAGTGCGCGGATTATTTTTCTCTCTGCGGCTTCGCTCCGAAGCCCGAGCTGCGCTTGGCTGCGCTGCCCATGCGGTGGCAGCAGAGGCCGCGGCTCGGGCTGCGCTGCCCGGGGCTGGGAGCTGCGGCCGGGTGAGGGGCTCGGGGCCGGGCTGCAGAAGCTGAGCTCTTTCCGACCGTCCTGGTTTGCTTGCACCGAAAGTCCCTCACTGGGCTGCAAGTCATCCCCGCTTTTCAGGTGTAATAATCGGCTCTGGGTTTCCTTTCTGTCGCCTCCAAAAATGTGCGCTAATTACCTGTAACTCCAAGTGCCACTCGAGAGATGGCATTGCACGGGAGGGCGGGGAAGCCTGCCCAAGTGTCTGCCCTGGAGAATCTGTGATTATGGGATAAATTGCTGGCTCTGGTGCCCTTTCCTTCTTTCTCATTTGTTTTCATAAGAATGCGGTTTTTAAGCTCTTAATTTCAGGGAATGCATCTTCATTATGAGTGGAGAAATACCAACATTAATAAGGAGATGGACTGCAAAAACGGGGAAACATCTCTAGAGGGAGAAGGCAGTGGGGAAACCGTGCCTGCCTTTTAATAGGACGACTTGGGTGAAAACAGCAGGACTGATTTGGCTGCTCAGCGTGCTGATTTTTCAAAGAGTTGTCAGAAAATTGAGTATTTGCTCCACAGAAAATTCCAGTGCTGTGGAGATTGTTTCCATTCCAAATCAGAATGAAAAGCACAAACACCCCAAAGTAATGTGCTGTACAACACTGATTTG